AAGAGACGGATAATGACAAGAGAGATAGAGATAGAGAAAGATGGGATGGGGAGGGGTGTACGTCAACAATACTAGGAAAGTTGTCATGCTGCCCTTTTAATTCCCAATAACTTATAATCGTCTGCACTCCGTGAGGTCATTTTGCCGTGTTAACCGGTGGAAATGAAGGAAGATGGAGAAAGAGAGAGAGAGAGAGAGAGAGGCGCACGCACACTCACGCACACACACATACTTGTAAGGACCTGGAATTGGGGGTATGGTTTTGTCACCGGAAAACGGGGACATTTTACTTAATCAATTAGTTGAATTCTAATTATCAGAATGTTATCATAAACAATTCATTTATACCAAAAACAGTTTGCTTTCACAATAACTTTGATTATTTTCATTCTATATAAACGAGTGGGAGCACTGGAGGCTCTGTTAAAAAAAAAAAACTGTTACAGTTCTCCTTGGATCAGATATAGACCTAATCAATTTGTGTAGAACTTTGCAGGAATTATTAATATGTGACGTATGTCCTTTCTGTGAAATTGAAACGTTAGCAGTGTCCTAGTATTCACACTCACAATCTCTATCTTTTCCCCTCTCCCCCTCCCATCCCTCTCTTTCTCTCCTCGATCCGTCCCCCCCCCTCTCCCTCAATCTCGCTCAATATCTCTCGATCTCTTTGTAAAAATATTTGTATGTATACCTTTTTAATACTTTTGTGGGACTTCTGTAGATTCCGTTGATCCGTAATCATCTGAGGTAAGCTCTGCTCCAGGATAAGGAAAGAAAGATCAAGAGAGTTCCAAAAAAAAAAGGAAGTAGCACCCACCTCTTATCCAGCCTAGGCCCATTTTGTCATAAGATAAAACCAAAATATGCGATTTCCAGATGATTTTCTTCGAAAGCAACAAGGATTTGGTTCTTCTATGATTATAAACACGACGATATAGTTTTTCATATATTTTTATCATATGTATTTTTACAATGTGTGACCAAGACAATTTTTCATGTGTTCTTGTGAATGTGGATGAATACAAAGAATTTAATTTAACACAAAAAATGAAACCAATAAACAATAAATATCAATAACAATGTAATATAAAGGAGGGCTTTCTTTCCAAATCACAGTTCGGTTGCACAACTACAAAAAGCATGCAAACATTTTGAATGTACATACATCTTCTGCACTTGAATCACAGGTTCTCCTCTTCCGCCTGCTACATCGGGTGGCCACAGTGGCGGATCCAGGGGCGGGGGGCCGCCCCCCCCTGGGAAAAAACGTTTAATTTTTTTTGGAGATGCCCCCCCCCCCCCCTACTGAGCGAAATATTGACCGGCACGATTTTCAAATTTCAGCACACTAAATTTCAAATTGATTTCAAATTTGGGCCCCCACCTCTAAGAAATCCAGAATCCGCGCCTGGACACCAGACCCGCATAGATGTGGGGGGGGGGGGGGGGTTGCGAGGATGCGACTGCCCCCTTTCTTGTTTTTCTTTCTTTCTCTTTCCGAGTTGGAGAATTTGGATGTGTCCCTCTTACACGGAGGAGATGTAACCCTTTCCCCTCACATCGATGAGTACAAGGAACTAATGACAAGGGCGTTGATACGTCTCGGAAATCTGATATTCTCCTCACATAATGGGATGTCCACTTTTATATATCATTAGAAAATTATTAGAAAACTATGGACGTAACAAACAAAAAGAATATAAAATGACAACTTTCTTCCCTTTAAAAAAAACAATACTTCAAACATAAATTGAATACTGATTTCGTATTTATGGTCATGTTGAAGTCATGCTAGAATATGCTGTTGTATATTTCCTCGACAACAATATCCGTTATATATTTATGAAGGAGTACGCTTACTGGTAGTATCAAATCACACAACGTGCACATATCCTGAAATCGATATTTAAGGTCCGGGTATTTGGAATGACGCACTTGATAATATTATTCATTTATAGTCTCGATGAAAAAATATATAAAATTCAAATATTCATAAACATTATATGGTTCTATTTTTTTTTATTTGATTGTTTGTTTTCTTAAATTAATTTTAGTTGACGTCAGGAAGAAAAAAAATACACTCGAATCAAACACTTAAATCACTTTGTTATAAATCCATGGGACACCATGGTCTAGATATTTGGAATGCTTTACCTTGCAATATTTAACACTCTGCATTTCTTTATTCAATCAAAGCCTCGATTAAAAATATTTAATATCCAATTATTTATAAATATTATAAGGGTCTTAATGATTTTAACTGTTTGTTTATACTTTATAAATTAGTTTAAGATGTTTTTGAATAAAACGAATCGGACACTTTAATACTTCACCTGCACACACCCACATACACACACTTGCATTACCCCCTATTTCTTATTCCTTTTTGTCTCCTCTATTGAATCCTGTAGATATCTGCAAAACTAAAGTTCGATTTATAAAAAAAATTGGTTAGCCTGCCCGATTTGACGTCTAGGAGCTCCATCATCATCATCATCATCTTTTGAAGTCATAACACTTTGTCTGATAAATCAACCTTTCTAATTTTACTGAAGTACTAGTAGGCTGCAATCATTACTAAAGTATCTTTTTCACCACGAACAGTTCCTTTTGTTATTTCAGATGATACTGACTGATGGTTTCAAATAACTATTAAACAGGCTTACGGCCGGTACATAGTCATTAATCACTCCCTACATTATACATGCATCCAACTACATAAAGACTTGTTAGTAATAAGAGACTGAAGCTTTGGAAGTGACACTCTATCAAAGATATTTAAGCACTTCAAAGAAATAAGGAACAATGGTGGATGACGTCCTTCCTGCGTTCTTTTGATTTACTAACGACTGGGAGACGAATGTTTTTCACCACAAAAAAAAAGTTTTCTCCTGGCATTTCAGGGGGTGATCGATTATTATGCTTTTCCACATGACTTGTACTGACGATACAAGACTGTCCACATTGCATTCGAAAGGTACCAGTAGAGCGTACCGGACATCATATAGATAATCTAACTTGATAAAGATCTACCAAATTTCAACAATGTTCAACATCTGCTGTTAAAAGGTAAAAGAACGTTAATTTCTCATCATGTATGCCTTGATAACGGGTTTGAAGTGATGGCTATCACCATCATTGTATGCCCAATTGTATAAATACGTATCGAACGTATTAGATTTTGAATGGTATACTGCATGTTGTATTTTCTTAAGGTCTTGTTTAATTAGTTAAATTTGCGTATTAAATGCAAATGCCAAAATATCTCCATAGGAGAAGAAGAAGAAGAAGAAGAAGAAGAAGAAGAAGAAGAAGAAGAAAAAGAAAAAGAGAAGAAGAAGTAGAAGAAGAAGAACGAATACAAGGCAACGATGGAGAACGCCAATGCAAAGAAGAACAAGAGCATGTAGAAGATAGTAAAAAGGATAAATATATTTCAATTCGGAAATGTTTGTTTGGACTTTACTCTCCGCTTAATAAGATTATGATGGCGTCCGGGGAGCGAATTTTTTTTCCCAAACAGGTTTACCTATGAGAGTAAAATCCTGCCTCCTGATTGGTTCAGAGGTATACGCATCATGAATATTCATGACTGAGCTGAAAGATACTAGTAGTGTTACGCATGCGCGTGACACAAGGCGAAGCTGCTCATGCAGCTCATCGAAATCCAAGTTTGAGTTCGTTGATGCAGCGCAGCTATAGTACGTAGGATATACACTGCATGCATGGAAAAGCTTGTCTTTGACATGTGTAGAGCCTGTATATATTACTTTATGTCCTTTGTTTTCTTTGGCCAGGTTCATCTGTCACAAAGGAACCAGAACCACTGATATGTTTGTTTGTTTTGTTTTATTTCCACTTTTTCATATCAATACAAAGAAACATACAAATAAATATAATGAATAACATGTAAGTTTGACAAAATTTGTTTCTAGTTAAAATAAAAGTTTCATACAAAAGGAAAAAGCAGGAGACCACATGTCGTAAGCGTAAATGCTTGAACATGACCGTACGTGGCCTCTGCCGAGTTAACAAAATAAAAGAACAACCCATGCAACTGCATTGTATTCAATGTTAAATAAGATATAAGTGAAGTGATTAAAAGTGAGCATGGCTGAATTAATTTTGAGTGAAAATAACAAAACAAATTTAGTGAAATATTTCGTGTTGAGAAGTGCATTTGTGCAAGGTGCAACAATAAGCTTGGTGGAACAAAAAAGAGACTAATACCGTGATATTAATTGTGTGTTGGTTTCAGTTACGGGTGATAATATTAAATGTTTGTCAAGATATCATGCTCAGAGCAACACAGTGGCTTTGACCCACATCCAACCATCTCATGTCGGACCATCCTGATAAGATAATTCATACCCCTTGTGTGTGTCTATTGTGTATTCTTGACAGCTAGTGTGTGCATTTGTTGCTTATGTGTTTGTAAATACATGAGGGTGGGTGGGTCTGTGTTTATAGAGAGAGAGAGAGAGATAGTGTTTGTATGTATAGCCTATGTGCGAAACTAGAATATTAGTGTGTGTACTGTAAGTGAACTCTTTGAGAAAAAAAATCCGCAGTGTAAAACTATATAAACCAAGCATCAGAATAACCAGAAATGTTCACAAACAAACAGACCCCCCCCCCCCCTTCCCCAATAAAAATCCCCTCGCACCACAGCTAGCTCACATACATTTTGTACACCTAAATGGCCAGCAAAACTGAAGTCCACGCGCATGCACTAGGTACTGCAGCTCAGCCACAGTGCTGTGAACTCAGTCGTGAATATTCATGACGCGTATACCTCTGAACCAATCAGGAGGCAGGATTTTACTCTCATAGGTAAACCTGTTTGGGAAAAAAAATTCGCGTCCGGCGAGGGCTACTGATTCCCAGAAATGACTTCGGACCCCCCCCCCCCCCCCCCCTCCCGTGAAACATAAATATATACACTCATTCGACTACTTTGCATGGTATTTGGAGTGACTACACGACCAATCCAAGACTTCAATATTCGTCTTTAATATCGCGAAAAACGACACAAGGCATAAGGTGTGACACCTTTTTTTCCTCTGTCTTTTCTTCGTATTTTCGCATTATTGTAATGCAGTTGTGCAGAGGGGACCATTTTACAAGATTCACTAATTCTGCAATGCCGAGCAAGATGAACTTTACTTTTGGTTGTGTAATTCTGTTTTTGCTGGCATTACTCGCCGTGGCACAAGGTAAGCATACGACGTGATTCATGTATGTTAATTTTGTTTAATGTTTGCACCCTCATATGTTATCGAGGAGGCACAATGAATCAGTGGTAGAGCAGTGGTATCGTAACCGGGAGGTTTCGGGTTCAAAACCAAGTCAAAGCGTTCGTGCCCTTTGCTAATTAAGGCATAAATTCTCATTACCAAGTCCCAAGCCGTCGGTCCCATGATTGCTTACGTAATTGTTGTGATCTCGTCTATATAATTATGTTTACATTTTGTAATGCATGTAAACAAAAAGACGAACCACCATAATATGTGGACAGTTACCGGTGAAAATATATTATATACATGCGTTCATATATATTTGCAGAAAGGTAGAATGTTAGTTAAATCGTCCTAGAACACAATTTGATGGTGTGCACTAATTTGAACCGCGCTAGTAGACCAACACTCACGAAACCAATGCCAACTAGACCGAAAACCTCGAGACCGAAAGCCTTCGAGACCGATCAGCCACGGGACTAACAAAGCAGACAAAAAGGAAATAGGGTTAATGCCCATCTCTCACGAATGAAATAAAACGTAACTTTATGAAAAATATTTGTGCAGACTTTGTGCAGATTTTTTTTGTAAAGAGTGCTTTTATTCTTGTATCATAAAATAGTATAATCAGCCAAAGTATTATTTCAAACTGACATTGTGTTCTTCTCAGAACCTGGATTTATGGATGTAGTATCTTTTAAGACCGAGCTCTTCGTGTGTGTATGTGTATTTTTATGTATATGTATATGCAACTTCATATAAATGATTATTTTCTTCATAAACTAAAGGAAGATAAAAAAAAATTACGAGTTAATTCATTAGTTAACAGTTATTATTTCACAAGAAATTTAGTCACAATTCTCCTCTTTCAGCATTACCTGAAATAAAAAAGAGAGGGGTGGGGGCAGCTTAATATTTGTTTTTTTTTCTCTCGCCCCTTCATTGGGCCAACAGAGGAATCACATGCATCATTTACATGTAGGAATAATTCCGACGGTGAATTGTAGTTTGGTCTACAACCAGTTTGTCTACTTCCCAATTAGTCTATTCCCATAATGGTTTACATCCAGCCATAATGAATGGCCGTCCAGAGGATTTTTTATGTTGGGGACCGGGGTATAATGCAATAAATTATTGAAAATGTATTGCATTTTCTGTTTTTTTTTTTATTTATGGAAACTGCCCCCTCCCCTAGCCCCCGCTGCGTACAGACATTGTTCAGTGATAAAGCAATGGCCTCGTAACTGTGAGGCCCCAGGATCAAAACCGTGTCGATGTGCTATATTAGTGCCCTTTTGTGGAGCATATTACTGTCATTTATGACTTAAGGGCGTAGGCCCCCAAGCCGATAAGCATAGTAGCATACACATGCTTTAGCGGTCACGCAAAATACACATTGGCAAATTATTATTCAATAAAATCTGAGAATGTATACTATTATCTAGATCTATTATTTTCAAATCATTTTTTAAATAATTCCATAAATTTGGGAAAAACAAAAATTTTCCAACTATATGAGCCACAGTGTATGGGCAAAGGCATGGGGAAATCAAGTTTTGGGGAATAAAAAGAAAAATTAAGTGGATTAAACCATATAGAGCAATTGATAACTAGTGAGGACATGACGTCACAAACTGATAACCATCTTGGCAATTTGTGTTGTGATTCTCATTGTTCCATAGTTTTACATACTTTTTCAAAAAATTGATAGCTTTCTTATTAGTTATCCGATTTCGCTCAAACTTTTGTTGATTGGTTTTTCAGATTTTTCTGCTTTTATTGAAAGTAAGTTATTGTTCGAGTGGACTTGTCCTTAAACAGCTTAAACAACTCTGATAAAGGTAGGAATACACTCTGCAAAATAAAGAATACAGATTTGTATGTTCCTGAAATGTGCACCCCCCCCCCCCCCCACCTCTCTCTCTCTCTATCTATTGATGTAGATTTGTTAATTCTACAGAGTTCACGTTTTGGATTTATGTATATATAGACTAAATTAAATATTGGAGCCGATCATATATGTTTATGCTTACATTTTCGATTCTTTGCCTTTTTCCAAGATATCAACGAGTGTAGTTCTAACCCGTGTCTACAAGGCTCTTGCATCGATCAGATTAACGGCTTTACGTGCTTTTGCAGCGATGGATTCATGGGCACAAATTGTGAATTAAGTAGGTTTTACATTTTCATTCTTATCAAACATTGTAATGAGCTAAACAAAAAAGGTCAAAGAAATCTATAATGTAATATTGAAAAACTTTCATGAAGGAACGAAGTGATCATAAGCATTTTTTTTGTAAAAAGTTGCTTATTTGTTTACCATTTGATTCATAGACTTGAAATGTCATCCAATCCCCTATCAAGTTGAATAGATATTTGTATCTGTAGCTCAATTCCTTAACAGCTAAATACAAAAACTCTGATAAAGATATGAATACACTCTGCAAAATATAAATAAAGATATGTACGTTCCTGAATCGTGAATACACTCCAACTTCCCCTCTCACTTCTGATATATATTGTTATACATCAGTGTTCACGGTTTGGATTAATGTATACATAAAAGAAATTAACACTTGCAGCCGATAATCTATTTATTGCCTATGCTCAAATTTCCGGCTTCTTTGCCTTTTGTTAAAGATATCAACGAGTGTAGTTCTAGCCCGTGTCTACAAGGCTCTTGCATCGATCAGATTAACGGCTTTACGTGCAATTGCACTGATGGATTCATGGGCACAAGATGCGAATTAAGTAGGTTTTGCATTTTCATTCCAATAAAATATTGTAATGAGCTGAAAAAAATTCAAAGAAATCCATAATGTAATATTGAAAAACTGTCATAGAGGAGGGAAGTCATCATTAGCATTTGGTTCAATTCATAGTGTTATAAAAGTTGCTTATTTGTTAATATGATTTGATTCATGGATTTGTAATACAATCCCGTAACAAGTTGAAGAAATATGTTTATCTATAGCTGAATTACTTAACAGCTTATAAACTCTGATAAAGCTATGACAAATCCTTTACGAAATAAAGAATAAAGGTGTGTACGTTCCTGAATTCCGAATATACTTCCATTCCTCCCTTTCTCCCTCTTCATATATATAATTGTTTTATACTTCAGAGTTCATGTTTTGGATGGATGTATAATTATAAAGACGAAATAAAATATTGTAGCCGGTAAAATTTGTAATGGCTTTGGTCAAATTTTCGACATTTTGCCTATTGTAATTATTTAGTTATATATAGCAATCACTCTAGTATAATATAATGTAATGCTATACACAAATCTTATTTATAGGATTTGCAAACCCATCATGTATTCTTCTTTTACTTTATTTTAGGCTTTATATAACGAGAGTCAGGCTCGACTAGCACATGTGCTATTTCTGACTCTATTTTACCATCAATCACAAGCTTATTATAACTAGTCATTTATTGTTTTACTCTTGACACAAATTTGCTTATAACTATTTGTTTTTTTAATAATTTACATCGCTGTAGAATATGTATTTTTAATTGATGTCATGTTTATATTAATATAATACTCATATTGTCATTGTACATGTATATGTCATTTGTTTCAATGGTGGTGAATATATACAATCAATTCAATTTTAAAAGATATCAACGAGTGTAGTTCTAGCCCGTGTCTACAAGGCTCTTGCATCGATCGGATTAACGGCTTTACGTGTTTTTGCAGAGATGGATTCATGGGCACAAGATGTGAAATAGGTAGGTTTTGCATTAAAATTGTAATGAGCTAACCGAAAATTCAAGGAAACCTATTTTGTAATATTAAAAAACTTTCATGAAGGAGGGAAGTAATCATACAAATCTTGTTTAATTGATATTGTTTTAAAATGTGCTTATTAATTTTGTTTTTGTAATTGATTTCTGTAGCTTAATTACTTATCATCTTAAACACTCTGATAACGATTTGCATACACTCTGCAAAATAACGAATAAAGATGTGTACATTCCCATACCCCCTCTCTCTCTATCATGGGCGTAGATCTGTAATTGATACCTATTGTTCAGGGGGGGATGATCTATTAATTCACCCCCCTGAACAATAGGTATTACGTAAGGATTGACGCCCATGCTCTATATTGAAACTTTAACGTTCAAGTATTGTATTGATGTATATATAGACGAAATTAAATACTGTAGCCGATTATATATTCAATGTCTATGCTCAAGTTTACGATTCTTTGTCTTTTTTTAAAGATATCAACGGGTGTATTTCTGAACCATGTCAATATGGAGGCTTGTGTTTGGATTTGAATAACTCCTATACGTGCAGTTGCGAAGATGGATTCACGGGCACAAACTGTGAAACAAGTAGGTTTTTGCATTTTCATTCTTATCAAATATTGTAATGAGCTAGAAAATAAAGTCAAGGAATTCTATAATGTAATATTGCAAAACTTTAATAAAGGAGGGAATTAATCATTATTATCACGTTCAATTTACGTTGTTTCAAAAGTTGCTTATTTGTTTTTGATTTGATTCATGTATTTGTAATTTCATCCAATCACGTATCAAGTTGAAGAAATATTTATATGTGTAGCTTTACTACTTGACAGCTTAAGCCGGGGTAATAATCTCCAAGTTGGGAAGCGCTTAGATATTGTAATAAGCCCCATATAAAAACTGTGTATTATTATTATTATCATCATTACCAAATACTCTGATAAAGCTATGATTACACTATGCAAATAGAGAATAGAGATATGTACGTTCTTGAATTTTGCATATATTCCCACCCCAAACCCGCTCTCTACTTCTCTCTCTTTTGATGCTCATTCGTTATACTTCAGAGTTCACGTTTTAGATTGATGTTTATATAAACGAAATTAAATATTTAGCCGATCATATATTTAATGCCCATGCTCACATTTTCAATTCTTTGCATTTGTTTAAAGATATCAACGAGTGTAGTTCTAGCCCGTGTCTACAAGGCTCTTGCATCGATCGAATTAACGGCTTTACGTGTTTTTGCAGCGATGGATTCATGGGCATAAGATGTGAATTAAGTAGGTTTTGCATTTTCATTCTAATCAAATATTGTAATGCTAACAGAAAATTCAAGGAAGTGTATAATGTAATATCACAAACTTTCACAAAGGAGGGAAGTGATCATAAGCATCATTTTCAATTTATATTGTTCTAAAAATTTGTTTGAAGATTTTAATTCATTGAATTGAATTTGAATTTATTATTTTATTTATTTTATTTTATTTATTTTATTGAAATATATTTTATCAGGATAGCAAGAATCAGATATACATTGTAGATACAAAATATGTTTTACATCATGGTCCTGAACAGGATAAAAATGTAAACATGGAAATATGAATAATGAATATCACCAAAGCTCACAGGCAATGGTAAGAACATTATAAAACTAACATATAAGCATAATACGCATTAAAAGTAGTAAAAAGCACCAAAAAAAAAACAAAAAAAAACACGACAATGTAATAATTGAAATTAACAGCGGAAAAAACATCGAATCACTTGAATAAAAGGCATTAAAATATCATCAAACAAATAGAAGAGGAGAAAAGATATAAGGAAACTGGTAACAAGTAAAGGAGGAAAGAGAGAAAGAAAGAAAGAAGGGAGAGGGAAATGGAGAGAGAGAAAAAAAAGAGAGAGAGAAATAAGCCATGTCAAAGCAGTAAATGAATCAGCATTGTATCACACGGGTTTAACAAATTTGTCTTTGTACATACGTTTAAAAACATCGATAGATTTAGCATTTTGAAAAGCAGAAGGTAAACTATTTCAGATTTTACCTCCAGCGTATCTAAAACAATTCTTAAAACATTCAAGATTAGGCTTGGGTAAAACAACATTCAGCGTATTGGCAAGTCTAGTGTTAAAACCATGTCTGTCAAAAACCATTTCCACTTCATTGCATAATCGTACTGGGACTTTTCCATGAATACAGTTGTACATTATACATAATAAAAAATAGTCCCGTCTAGTATCAATGGATTGCCATTTTAATGAATTCATTATATTCAAGCTATTTACATCATAATCAAAATTCCCTACGACAATACGTGCAGCTCTATTTTGTAGTCTTAAAAGAATATTTCTGTTTTGTAAAGAACAGTTTCCCCATACGGAACAAGAATAATCTAAGATTGGCTGTATGGTACATTTGTATATTTTATTCAAAATGGAAGAGCTTAAAGATTTACTGAGCTTTCTCAAAGTAAAAATCTTATAACTTAATGATTTGGTAAGAGATTTAATGTGGATATCCCAAGATAATCTATCATCAATTTCAATCCCTAAATATCTGATACTTCTTACTTGTTCTATTGTTTCAGTATCAATATGCACCTTCAGACTTAATTCATCGTTACCTCGTGTGTTACTACTTAACATCATAACACTACTCTTATTAGTATTAATACGTAATCTATTTTTACAATACCATTCATTTATAGCATACAAATATGTTTGGAGCTTAGATGTAATGACATTAATCTCTATATCAGAAACATATAAGACAACATCATCAGCGTATATATTACATGTACTTAATCGTAAGCAATCAGTTATATCATTTATAAAAACAAGAAAGAGGGAGGGGCCTAAAATACTCCCCTGAGGAATTCCTATAGTTATGTCCTTTGTTTCGGACAGTTTACCATGACAATAAACTGCTTGTTTCCGACCAGATACAAAACTAGAAAACCATTTAAGTTCAGTATTTAAAATTCCATACTTATTCAATTTGGACAACAAAATTTCATGGTCAATACAATCAAAACATTTAGAAATATCAAGAAAACATGCACCAACTTTTACCTTTTCATTAAAAGATTCGTACCAATCATCAATGACTCTATGTAAACATGTATTAGTTGAATGATTTGGCAAAAAAGCTTATGGTCAACACTAATAAGATGATTAGTCTGCAAGTAAGATAAAAATTGAGACTGAACTTCCTTTTCAAGCAGTTTAGCAATATGACATACGACTGAGATGGGTCTATAATTTGAAATATTATTTTTATGACCTTTACCTTTATAAACAGGCGTAGTTATGGCCAGTTTCCAATCATTAGGTAAAAATCCACAATTTAAACTTTCATTAAAAAAACAATTAAGAGAAATATTAATATAAGGAGCTGAGATTTGAAGTAATTTTCTATCAAATTCTAAGATATCAAGGCTACTCTCTTTCGACAATAGAGAGAGATTATGTTTCGTTTTCCCGGGACTAATTTAATTTCAAGACGAAGGTATGTATACTTTCAGGGTGCTTCCATGATAAATCATGATTAATCGTTCAATTTATTACTGTCTAAATCAGATGGTAAAACAAAGTCTTTTTTCCCCCTTCCAGTAATTTTGCTTAATTCCTTCCATAACTTCTTACTATCATTACTATATCTCTCAGATACTGAATCAAAATATTCTCTCTTCTCTTTTCGTATCAGCTTGGTGACTGAATTCCTGAGATTTCGATATTCAGTCAATAGATATGTAATTTATTAACAAAAATACATCACAATAATGACAGTACATTATATCATGAACAATCATACAATGCAAAGATATGAATGTAAAACTTGTTTGTTTTGTATTTACATATATACAATCAAATAATACAGTATCATGTAACGTTTTTACATTTCTTAAAGAAAAGAAAAGAAAAAACAAAAAATAAAGTTTAATTTGCTATAAAATCATTATAAAGAAAGATAACACATCTTTGAACAAATGTAATCATCAATGTGTTCTTAAAATTGAAAAGGATGTATCAATACAAATTAATAATATCATAAAAATGTGCGTACATGGATAAATCATGTAACAGCTTACGGGCAGCTATAATCGTTAACAAGAAAGTGTATACATATATATAAAGAAGACAAGTACAATAAAAGGAAAAAAGAAAGGGGACGGGGTTGACCCCACGTCATTTACATAGAAGGTAGGTTGAAAGATGTCTCCGAAAAGATAACCTCGATGTTTGTAATCTAATTTCATCTGGGAGATCATTACACAGCTTTGTTCTTACAAACGAAATACAAAATTGCCCTTGCGTTGTTTTACATTTTGGCTGATATAGAGTAAGCCACTTTCTTTTCTCCTAGTTGCAAATCTGTGCTGCATCATCTGACAATAATCGACTAGAGAGTGTGGTAAAACACCTCTTACCAAACCATACATAAATGTTGATACAAGAAGTTCATGAAGTTTAAAAATATTTAATATTTCTAGACTTTGAAAAAGAGATTTGTAGTCTGTTCTATTAAAGTGGACCTATTGTAATTGCTCTAATTGCCTTTGTTTAACTTAAATATATACAATTTAGATTACTTTTGTAAGTGCTCCTACATACTTCTACTCCATAATAAAGGTTAGGTTGTATAAAGGCCTTATATATTAACACAAGTATATTCCAAGGAACAAAATGTCTTAGTTTAAACAGAATGCTTACTTTCTTTCGTATGCATTTGCTTATCGTCTGAATATGTTCTTTCCATGAAAGATGACAATCAATTTCAATTCCTACAAATGATCCAACGGATTCCTCTTTAATATCTGACCAATATGGATGTGTAATGTCATACCATCCCGTTTCAAGTTGAATAAATATTTATATCTGTAGCTTAATTACTTAACAGTTTCAAACACTCTGATAAAGCTATGAATACATTCTTCAAAATAAAGATTACAGATATGTACGTTCCGGAATTGTGCATACACTTGAACTTGCACCAATCTCTTTATTCACGTATTGTTTAAAACTGCAGAGTTCACGATTTGGATTGATGCATATGTAGAAGAAATTAGGATATTGTTACCAATCATATATTTAATGTGTTTGCCCACATTTGTTATTCCTTGCTTTTTTTAAAGATATCAACGAGTGCATTTCTGAACCGTGTCAATATGGAGGCTTGTGTTTGGATCTGGATAACGCCTATACGTGCAATTGCAACGATGGATTCACGGGCAAAAACTGTGGAACAAGTAGGATCATGCATTTTCATTTTAATCAAGTTTTTCAATGAGCTATACAAATTAAATGAAATCTATAATTTAATATTGAAAAACGTTCTTAATTGAGGGAAATGACCATTAGCATCATGTTCAATTTATACTATTTTAAAAGTTCCTTATTTGTTTTTTATTTGATTCCTGGATCTGTAATGTCACCTAATCCCATATCAAGTTAAAGAAATATGTTCCCCCTTAGCTCAATTACAATAACAGCTTTAAAAGTCTGATAATGCTATGAATACACTCTGCAAAAATAAAGAATAAAGATATGTACGTTCCTGAATTTTGCATACGCTTTAACTTTAACACCTCTTTATTCACGGCTGATAAATGAGGAAACGACAAACCGTTCGAAGTATGCATTTTTCGTAGCTTTTATTTAACATTGAATTCTGTCATTCCTACATGTTTAATTTAACAATGGCGGTACATGAATTCACACCAATATTATAATAACATTACACACAGATTTGAGTATCCAACCCAATTACAGAACTAGTGCTGGAATCTAAGATGGAAAATGAGGATTCATGTGAATGAATGTAATCTGCACCCCAAACATGAACCTTAAAGTCTAATTATGTGAAATCCATTCGTATAGCCAGAGAAGGGTTAAACAACGGATAGAAACCCCTATTCGTAAACTAATGTCCCTCTGCATTGCCACGAGCACCTCTTGCTAGCCGTCATTAATGCCCAATCAAACGGGGAAGATTGTTTTATGTAACTCGGATGCACCACTCATTCCCAGCTCTCAACAACGATTCCAGCAAAAGTGCATTACACACAAATTGGAGTATCCAACCCGATTATAGAACTAGTGCTAGAATCAATGCTGAAAAATGAGGAGAATCGCACCCCATACATACCTGATATCCAAGTACTAAGCCATCAGGAATGCCGCCCCATCAAACGAGGAAAATTTTGATGTAACCCGGGTGCACCACCCATTCCCAGCTCAATGCTGGAAAATGAGGAAAAATCTCACCCCATACATAACCTCATATCCAAGCGTTAAGCAATTAGGAATGCCCCCCCCCCCCGACCAAACGTGTTTTTCACCCGGGTGCACCACCAATTCCCAGCTCTCATCAACGATTCCAGCAAAAGTGTTCCCAACCGGGCCCCATCACTTCCCTCCAGGTATACCTCCCCGCATGTTAAAACGAAAGAGGATCATGAAATGACTTGTCCTACGAATGGTAATATAATTTCTTGCTAATATGATGTAAGTGTGTGAAGGCCAAAATTGATAAAAATCCACCAACGAGCAAATTAAATAGCTCGCCCTCAAAGAACAGAGTTTTACCGGATAACCTATTCAGCTCGAGGTGAACATTCTTGAATTGAATAATTGAAGCCTACTAATTACCAAGCAGGAATGTATAACCACTCCGGAAACCATATACCCAGTACTGCAGGCAACCCTTGCTTTTTCCCACTTCTTTTAACCAAAATTCAGACATAACTCCCTAAAAGAAATTGCTTTACTCCATAATGTTACAACCTTACTTTAAAACCGCCACCAATAACCACCCATAGTTTACAAATAATACATAGGTGTGAATGCGTTATGGTCCGATGTAGTCTAGTTCTGGACCCTTCTCATGATTTTGTTTTATTCGCCGACTATAAGCGTTAAAGTGCGGGTTCATAGAAAATCACAAATATGGCAAATATCGTATTACTAGAAACTGGTCTGCTAACAGATGGCCATCATGCAAGTTTTAGGTTAACTACATATCGGGTGATTTATAAAAATACAAATCAAACAACTTCCATAGCATCTGGGATATGCGAGAGATTCGCCAGAAAATAACGATGTTTTAATGCCGTCACAATATGAACCAACCCTGCCCAAGCAGACGACATCCCATAAAGAATGAACATAATTGCAATGCTTTTATTTCTCAAATTATAATGAGTTTAGTCTATATAAATGTGATGGAATCTTACACCATTCAAAAAGGGATATGACCCCCATTCTGATAACTAAATTCTTTTGTTTGTAAATACACAGGATAGGAGTTAATGAACAATCAAAGAAACCACACTTTCAAATTAAAAAACCTCCGGAATGATAGCATGGACGTCATTTGTTCCCTCTTGAAACGCCGAACATGCCGCGGTGTGTGCAGCTGAAAATACAATGGCGTCTTATTTTGTTTACAAGCGACGGATTCCTTTTTTTGTTAATCCTTGCATTTTTCAACAAAATAATACCATGCACAGGGTTTAGAGTGAGGCAATAGTTTAAAAATTTCGCCTGAGGGCATTGAAGTAAGAGAAATTACTGAAGAAAATATGACAAAACAGGCACTGAAATTGTGTGAGATGTCATGGAACATCGTCTGCTTGTGCACATCATGTTCAACATGTGACGTCATATCTCAGCAGCGACCGGAGAGCTTTTCAGGTGCTATGTCAGGGCTGTATCTAAGCGTTTTGTAATTGTTAATAATCATTACTTCAAATGTTTCCAAGCATTGGCTTTTGATAACCTTGGCCAATCAAAGTGTCACCTTTGCAATAATGACATTAAAGTTAGTTATTTAAATCAATAAACCTTCTCTTTAAGCCGTGTGATGGCGCGATCCTTAGTGACGGCGCGTTTCGAGCAAGTTCTGGACCCTTTTAATGATTTTTTTAATCGCCGACTATAAGTGTTAAGCCGAGAGATGGCGCACGCCGTCACTAAGGATCGCGCTATTACTCGGCTTAACGCTTATAGTCGGCGAATTAAAAATAATCGGTTCAGAAAAGGGTTCAGAACTAGACTATGGTCGATGCGGCGCATAAGTGTATTCACTATGGTGCAATTAATACAATTCACGAGGCGTAGCTGAGTGTATTTTGTGCCATTGCGAATACTTGAATAGCCCTGCATCGCCATATGAAGCGACGAACGAAAACCTGTGTATTATTTAATTGATAAAATTGGTCGACAATCTTACTTAGCAAGTCGATAACACTGTAAGCCTGCAACCTTTATAAGAAATAACGTGTGCACACAGACGATCGCGGCAGAAGTGGCCTCGTACACAGACTGTGCAGTGCATGATGCGACTTGAATAACACGCAGCGTGCAATATTCCTTTTTGTTGCACCTTTTTTTACGGCTGTTATCATCAAAATGCACTTCCCGTTGGTGTATAAACCACTATAATTGAGATGTTTAAAGGGTGTCCCTGTAATTACAGTGTACTCACATTCCATGTTCCAACTCTGATGGTATTCCTATTGCGAACAGTAGCTGGCTGACAGTCGGGGTCCACCTGTCGCACATGGGACACCCTACCAGGCGAGGTACTTGTCCCTTGAGGTAGACGAGCCTCCTTCACGCCTTTGTCTTTTGCTTTAGAGTTGTGGTTCATCATAGTTGTTCTTGGAATAATAGTGAAGTGGTTTTCCGTTGCCTTCTTCACCGCAGTATGTAGCCGTATCTGGGGTTATCCAGCACGCCAGACATTATCAGAGATTCACCGTTGTCCTAAAAGGATCTTCCGCCGAAACACTAATACTGCATCGCTGCTGCCCAATGCAAAGCAAGCTAGGCTTATTTAAAGGCGGCCCAAACTCGCCTTCACAATTCAATGTCTTAGGGGATATGCAAGTTTGAATTGGTCCTACTGGTGCCACCCATGCAGTACCACCACCAGCCCCTGGTGCTGAATGGTCCCCCCCCCCCTCACTCAGGGGTCGGAATGACCGCATGCGTGTTGCCAAATTGTCCATTAAAGGGGTACTTTTTGTGCGACAAAGTCCGGCCCGAGGATTGTAAAAAAAGGGGTGTATTTGACTTTTCACCCGGAGATTTCTTTAAAAAAGGGGGTGTTTTTTTTCTTTTTTTTCTCCCATCTCTTTGGATTCCTGAGAAATTATTCCTAATTTAGGGAGGTACATTGAGCATTTTTCCTGATTTAGGGGGGTCTCCAAGGCAGGAAAAGCCCGCGAAAAGCCCGCGAAAAGCCCGCGAAAAGCCCGCGAAAAGCCCGCGAAAGGGGGGTTCGAAAATGTTGGCAGTCCTCAGATAGGGGGTGCTTTCAAAAAGAGGGAACGAGCATATGCGTACCCTAAATAACACTGAGTGGGGGGGGGGGGCAGGCGCGGATCCAAGATTTCTTAGGGGGGGCCCAAATTTGAAATTATGCGAGCAAAATATTGGTACGTAATGGTGACCAACAGCGACGTAATGCGGGGGGGGGTGCAGGAAGGGGCGAGTTTTCCCCTCCCTCTTGACGTTTCATTGAATTATTAGAGAAAGAAGACGATTCGTTCTACCGTTCTCGAAAATAATCCTCGTCTGATTTAAGTTCCCCCCCCCCCTCCCGCGCAAAGCGCAAGCTTTTACGTTTCATTAAATCATTAGAGAAACAAGACAATTCGTTGTACAGTTTTCGACTCTTAATCCTCGTCTGAATTCAGGTTCCCCCCTCCTGCGCGAAGCGCAGAAGCTTTTACAATTCATTAAATCATTAGAGAAAGAAGACGATTCGTTGTACCGTTCTCGACTCTTAATCCTTAGATTCAGTCCACCCCCCCCCCCCTCCTGCGCGAAGCGCGGAAGTTTTTACATTTCATAAAATCATTAGAGAAACAAGATGATTTGTTGTACAGTTCTCGACTCTTAATACTCCTCTGAATTAAGTTTTTCCCCTCCCGCGCAAAGCGCGGAAGCTTTTAAGTTTCATTAAAATCATTAGAGTAAGAAGACGATTCGTTGTACCGTTCTCGAAAATAATCCTCGTCTGATCTAAGTTCCCCCCCCCTTCCGCGCAAAGCGCAAAAGGTTTTACGTTTCATTAAATCATTCGAGAAACAAGACGATTCGTTGTACAGTTCTCGACTCTAAATCCTCGTATAAATCAAGTTTTCCCCCTCCTGCGCGAAGCGCGGAAGCTTTTACATTTCATTAAATCATTAGAGAAAGAAAACGATTCGTTGTACCGTTCTCGAAAAATAATCCTCGTCTGAATTCAGTTTCGCCCCCGGCCCCCTCCCGCGCGAAGCGCGGAAGGTTTTACGTTTCATTAAATCATTAGAGAAAGAAGACGATTCGTTGTAACGTTCTCGACTCTTAATCCTCGTCTGAATTAAGTTTTTCCCCTCCCGCGCGAACGGCACGGAAGCTTTTACGCTTCATTAAATCATTAGAGAAAGAAGACGATTTGTTGTACAGTTCTCGACTCTTAATCCTTAGATTCAGTCCCGCCCGGCCCCCCCCCCCCCCTGGATCCGCGCCTGGGGGGGGGGGGGGGGGGGGAATGGTCCCCTTTTAGTCGCCTTTTAAGACACGCAGCGGATACGTGGGGGGGGGGGGGGAGGGGTATTCTTGACAAGTTGACAGGCCCCAAGCTTCGTCAATACCGTTTCACGACTCACCGGATAATTGTTGAGATTCCGGTCCTGAGGGCTGGGACTTGGCCTTGATCTTGTTAGTCCGCAAGATCCGAGCCCGCTGCCTGAGGCTGTGATGTTTCTCGGCCTGCAGAACTAGCTGATATAGGTCTAGATATAGGCCTCCCTCGCCTACGAAGTCGCTCATTTCGTACCGACTCTTTCGCCTTGAAAGTGTACCCGTCTTTCTCTTTTTACTTGCGGCATGCCGGTCGCTGATTCCTATTTACAGCACTGAACTAGCTCATAGTCTACCGTACAAACGAACACACTGCAGCTCAAAAATGTAATCACCTCTCCACTGCAGTGCAGACCCGGCCCCCTCACTCAGGGGTCGGAATGACCGCATGCGTGTTGACAAAATGTCCATTAAAGGGGTACTTTTCGTGCCTCAAAGTCCGGCCCGAGAATTGTAAAAAAAGGGGTGTATTTCACTTTTCACCCGGAGATTTCTTTAAAAAGGGGGGTGTTTTTCTTTTTTTCTCTCTCATCTCTTTGGACTCCTGAGAAATTATTCCGAATTTAGGGAGGTACATTGAGCATTTTTCCTGATTTAGGGGGGTCTCCAAGGCAGGAAAAGCCCGTGAAAAGCCCGCGAAAGGGGGGTTCAAAAATGTTGGCAGTCCTCAGATAGGGGGTGCTTTCAAAAAGAGGGAACGAGCATATGCGTACCCTTAATAACACTGAGTGGGGGGGGGGGGGCGGGAGTGCAGATACCGTGAAAAGGAGTTAATAACAATTTTCACATTAGCGAATACCAACAATCAAACTAGGTATTCAAGGAAATTAAAGGGATATCCACTGCCGATGCAAAACAAAGTCAATGTCAGTTAATTTGAGTAAGAATCCACTGATATTTTTGATTGTCGAAATCAACAGGTCTTGCCACTACCAAACGCCACGAGAGAATGACACAATTCCCACGTGCATGTACGCACTCTTGCAATCGCGTGATATGCGTTTCGTGTGCAAATTGTGGCGCGTTTCCGAATGCGCGTGTTGTCAAGAGGCGCCAAATTCTTGACAACAATGTAAACAAGCTTAAATTGTTGCGTTACAATGACCAGCAAAACCAAAACAAAAATAGAATTGCCAACCAGCCGTGTATAAATATTTTTGGAAGCGTTTTTGTAACTCTTTACAATTTCCTCTATTTTTTTTTTTTTTCACGGTTTGGATTGATGGATATGAAGACTAAATTGAATAATGTAGCGGATAATATATTTAATGTCTATGGTCAAATTTTCGATTCTCTCCATTTTCCAAGATATCAATGAGTGTAGTTCTAGTCCGTGTCTACAAGGCTCTTGCATCGATCAGATTAACGGCTTTACGTGCTTTTGCAGCGACGGTTTCATGGGCACAAGATGTGAATTAAGTAGGTTTTGCCTTTTCATTCTTATCAGATATGGTAGTGAGCTTTAAAAAGTCATATATTAACACATTTTCATAAAAGAGGGAAGTGATAAATAGCATCATGTTCAATTGATATTGTTTTGAAGGTTGCTTATTTGTTTATTATTTGATACACGATTTGTAATGTCATCTAATCCCGTTTCAAGTTGGAGAAATATTTCTGTCTGTAGTTTAATTACTTATCAGCTTAACAAATCTGATAAAGCTATAAGTACACTATTCAAAATAAAGAAGAGGGTTATACACGTTTCTAGTTTTGCAAATTCACTCCAACTTTCCACCCTCTCTCTATTTATATATAAATCAGAATACACGGTTTGGCTTGATGCATATTTAGACAAAATTAAATATTGATGTGTTTGCTCAAATTATAAATTATTTGCTTTGTTTAAAGATATCAACGAGTGTTTTTCTGAACCGTGTCAATATGAAGGCTTGTGTGTGGATCTGAATAATTCCTATACGTGCAATTGCAGCGATGGATTCGTGGGCACAAACTGTGAAACAAGTAGGTTTTTGCATTTTCATTCTAATCAAATATTGTAACGGCCTAAAAAATAAATTCAAGGAAATCTATAATGTAATAATGAAAAACTATTAAAAAGCAGGGACTTGAAATTAAGCATCATGTTCAATTTATTTAGTTTTAAATGTTGCTAATTTCTTTTTTATTTGATTCATGGATTGAATGTCATCCAATCACATCATTAGCTTTAATAATTACTTAACAACTAAAATACTCTGATAAAGCTATGAATAAAGTCTGCAAATAAAGAATAAAGATATGTACGTTCTTGCTTTTTGCAGACATTCCCAACCCCCCCCCCCCCGCTCTCTCTCTCTCTCTCTCTCTCTATCTCTCTAAAGATATATATTTATTATACTCAGAGTTCACGTTTTGGATTGATGTTTATATCAGTGAGGTTAAACATTGCAGTCGATCATATATTTAATGCCCATGCTCAAATGTTCGATTCTTTGCCTTTTTCAAAGATATCAACGAGTGTAGCTCTAGCCCGTGTGTACAAGGCTCTTGCATCGATCAGATTAACGGCTTTACGTGTTTTTGCAGCGATGGATTCATGGGCATTAGATGTGAATTAAGTAGGTTTTGCATTTTCATTTTAATCAAATATTGTAATGAGCTAAAAAAAAAAAAGTCACGAATATCTATAATGTACTAATGAAAAACTTTCAGGAAGGAGGGAAGTGATCATAAGCATCATGTTCCATTTATATTGTTTTTAAAAGTTCATTATTTGTTTACGATTTGATTACTGGATTTGAAATGTTATTCTATCTTGTTTTAAGCTGAAGAAATATTTATATCTGTATCTTAATTACTTAATAGCTAAATATCTATGAATACATTCTTCAACATTTAACTTCAACCCTCTCTCTTTCTATACTGCAGAGTTCACGGTTGGGATTGTTGCATAATTTATGAAGACGACATTTTTTTACAGTAACCAATTATATATTTAAATGTGTTTGCCCAAATTTTCGTTTTTTTTTTTTTGCTGCTATTTTAAAGATATCAACGAGTGCATTTCTGAACCGTGTCAATATGGAGGCTTGTGTTTGGATGTAAATAGCTTTTATACGTGCAGTTGCAACGATGGATTCACGGGCACAAACTGTGAAACAAGTAAGTTTTTGCATTTTCATTCCAATCAAATATTGTAATGAGCTAACAAAAAAGGTCAAGAAAACATATAATGGTAAATTGACAAATTGTTTCATTAATTTGTGATGTCATCCACTCCCGTAATCAAGTTAAAGAAATATTTCTATCTGTAGCATAATCACTTAACTGCTAAAGAACTCTGATTAGGCTATGAATACACTCTGCAAATAACGAATAAAGATAAGTTCCTAAATTCGGCATACACTCCCCTCCCCCTCTCTCTATTGATATTTATATACTTTAGAGTTCACATTTTGGATTGATGTATATATATATACGGAAGAAATTATATATTGTAGCCTATCATAAATTTAATATCAATGCTAAAATTTTTGATTCTCTTCCTTTTTTTTTAAAAGATATCAACGAGTGTAGTTCTAACCCGTGTCACAATGGTGGCTCTTGCATCGATCGGATTAACGGCTTTACCTGCTTTTGCAGCGATGGATTCATGGGCACAAACTGTGGAACAAGTAGGTTTTTATACAGTAGGCTTGCGGGTGCACCATGTGAGAGAGAGAGAGAGGGTTGAGGAGTCCTGGAAAGGACTCTGACTCGGTAATCTTACTTGGGGGTATATAGTCCTGGAAAGGACTGTTTGTTATCTTAAGTAGGTTAAGTAGGATTTTGCATTTTAACTATAATCAAATACTGTAATGAGCTGTACAAAAAAAAAAAGCAAATCTTTACTGTAATATTGAACAATTTCACGAAGGAGGGTAGTAATCATAGCATCATCTTCAACTTATATTAGGGTGGTCACACTGCCTGTGCAAACAGTCTGCTCGCGAACAAACACACACAACAGCAGTCAGTTGGTAGAAATAGCAATTGTTGTAAATGTATTTTAAAAAAACTAGCCAATATTTTTAAATTTTTATTTAACATATATTTTAGCATACACTACAATTCTGTGTAGTTTCATTGTTATAGCCATGAGGGAAATATGTTAATTATTTAATTAGAATATTGTCTTTTCAGCTATGTGTGACATGGCCCGCTGATCGCCCATTGACTCGCGCTGCTATTCTGCGTGGTGAAAATGCACCTCAATGTATAAAACTCCCCTACAAGAATGCAATATCCTCATGTGTTTCATTCATTGAATCAATTTGTTATTTACACTCAAGGTAGCCACAACTGTACTGAGGTCACCAACGTTTTTGCTACTCTAAAATTCAGTCCTTGTGGAATGTTATGGCCTGTTGAATGGTTTCTCGGAAAATCGTCATAAATCCTCAAATCTGACATTTTTTAAATAAGCAACTATACTGTGATGTAGCTGAAAGTCTACAAATTCTTATCATGTGATCGGTTTTTCTGAATAATTTGTGAAACACATGAGAAAATAGCTGTGACGGTTTCAAATGAAATATATGTCCATAGCTGTCTGATATACATAGGTTTCACTGATGTATCATGTTCGGTTTTGATTTGATTACATATGCGCATATATTTTCACAACTTTTTTATATCTGCAGATTCGCAAAAATTGCAAAAATTACTTATTTTGTTGGCTTCTGTTTTCAAAACGGTAATAGATATATGAATTTTCTTTTTTGTATTTTTTCCGCAAAGATGATATTTTAGTGTCTGATAATTTAATTTATTATTTGTGTCCGAGAAAGTGATGAATTAAGTTGTCAACTTTGTCGAATTATGCCATTTTTGCCAATTTGACCATTTCTGGCAGGTTTTTCAGTAATTTTGCGATATCAAAGAAATGGTTTAAAATCACAACGCATTGACCGATTTTAATTCTATTTTTGTTTTTAAGCTTTCATAAAGCTTGATCATTTGCAACTATCAAATAACATGTGTTTGCTGTAATTATTTTTGATGAGCTATACCTACCTATATTGTTTTAAAATTTGCTTAATTAATTTTGATTTTATTCATGGATATGCCTATGTTAAGTCCCCCAATCCCGTATCAAGTTGAAGACATATTTCTATATGTAGCTTGAAGGGGGTGTAGCCTGATTCGGGGCAAATCGGGTAAATACGACTACGGACGACGGACCGCAGCAATCACGTGCGTGCAACATACGCGAAACCGAAGCGTGCGGACAAATTCGGTCTGTTTCGCGAACGCTGACCATTTGAGTAAGTCGCTGACTACCGTTATATCAAATCCATTCGTTTACGTGCAGTTGTGCAAAAGAAGACGTAGATGGCGTTAATCAGAATTTGCCGGTCCACAACCCCTTTACTTAACTGCTTAAAAACTCTGATAAAGCTTTGAATACACTGCAAAATAAAGAATAAAGATATGTCAGTTCCTGATTTTGCATACACTCCCTCTCACCTGCCCTCTCTCTCTCTCTTTCTCTCCAATGATATATATATTTTGTATACCTCAGAGTTCACGTTTGGGAAAGATGTATATATATATATCTAGACGAAATTAAATATTGTAGCCGATCATTTATGTTATGTCTATGCTCAAATTTTCGAATCTTTGCATTTTTTTAAAGATATCAACGAGTGCAGTTCTAGCCCGTGTCTACAAGGCTCTTGCATCGATCAGATTAATGGCTTTACCTGCTTTTGCAACGAAGGATTCATGGGCACAAACTGTGAAACAAGTGGGTTTTTGAAAGTTTTATGGTGGAGAGAAGTGATCATAAACGTCATTTTTAATTTATATTGTTTTAAAATTTGCTTAATGAATTTTGATTTGATTCATAGATATGTAATGTCATCCAGTCCCGTATCAAGTTGTAGAAATATTTATACTTGTAGCGTTATTACTTTACATCTTTAAAACTCTGATGAAGCTATGAACGCATTCTGCAAAATAAAGAATAAAGATATGTACGTTCCTGAAGTTTGCATACACTCCCACTCCCACCCCATTCTCTCTCTCTCTCTCTCTCTCTATTGATATATACATTGTTATTACTCCGAGTTAAAGTCCCCAACAGAAAAAAATATTCCGTGTGCCCATGCATTGACCCATAATGTATGGCCGTACAGAGGATTTTGTTATGTTGGGGACCGGGATAAAATGCAATGAATTATTGATAATTTATTTCATTTTCTTGTTTAATTCTTATTTGTGGGAACTACCCCCTTCCCTGGCCCCCGCTACGTACAGTCATGGTTCAGTGACAGAACAATGGCCTCATGATCAAAACCGTGTCGATGTGCGATGTTAGTGCCCTTTTGTTGGGCATTAATCCTCATTACTGTCATTTATCACTTAAGGGCGTAGGTCCCCTAGTCGATAAGCATATTAGCATACACATGCTTTAGCAGTCACGCAAAACAAACACTGACAATTTTGTATTCAATACAGTCTGAGAGTGTATACTATTATCTAGATCTGTTAGGAATAAATCATTGTCAACATAATTCCATAAATGGGGGTAAACAAAAATATTCCAACTTTATGAGCGACAGTGTATATTTATTGTCTATCCTCAAATTTTGGATTATTTTTATTTGTTGAAAGATATCAACGAGTGTAGTTCTAGCCCGTGTCTACAAGGCTCTTGCATCGATCGGATTAACGGCTTTACGTGTTTTTGCAGAGATGGATTCATGGGCACAAGATGTGAAATAGGTAGGTTTTGCATTTTCATTCTATATAAATATTGTAATGAGCTAAAAGAAATTCTAGGAAATCTATAATATAATATTAAAAAACTTTCATGAAGGAGGGAAGTGATCATAAGCATCTTGTTCCATAGATATTGTTTTAAAAGTTGCGTATTTGTGTTTGATTTGATTAATTTGTTTGAAATGTCATCCAATACCATATCAAGTTGAAGAAATATCTGTATCCGTAGCTTAAAGGGATAGTTGAGTTATGTTGGGCGCTACACAAAATATTTTTTGTGAGATAATGAAAAACTGAGTGTCAAATTTGAAAGAACATACAATTTAAATGACAAAATCATCTTTGTTTCATCAAAATCGGTTCAGAGACGGCTGAAATATCCATAAATATAACGACTTCTAATATTTGTGTACCATCACAAATATTAGATAACTTGAAAAAGCCGTTGACAAAACAAAATAGCGCCTTTTACGTCGTATATCAGCCAATGCCGATGTTGATTTTTTGTTGTTGGCATTTTCGTGTTGGTTATATTACGCACAACCAGCCGGCCCTTGTATTGTTATTTTAATTAAATAATTAATTAACGGTCACTGTATTTTGGGGGAAAGTGGAGCTGAATTGGTATGATCGTATTGGCTAAATGTCACACATTTGGGGGTCTAAAATTACCTTCATAGCAAATTTATGTTCTAAAAGGGCACAAGAAATGTCATACATAATAATAAGAGCAATAACCTCGCACTTTGAAGGCATTTGCGGTCTGAAAACAGAACTCAACTATCACTTTAATTACTAAACAGCTTTAATGCTCTCATAAAGATATGAATACATTCTGCAAAATAGAGAATAAGTTCATGTACGTTCCTGGATTTCGCATACACTCCCGACCCCCCCCCCCCTTCATCTCTATATTGATATATTTTTTGTTTTATACTTCACGTTTTGGATTGATGCATATGAAATTAAATATTGTAACCAAGCATATGTTTAATGTGTTTGCCTACATTTTCGATTCTTTGCTTCTTTAAAGATATCAACGAGTGCATTTCTGAACCGTGTCAATATGGAGGCTTTTGTTTGGATCTGAATAACTCCTATACGTGCAATTGCAACAATGGATTTACGGGCACCAACTGTGAAACAAGTCGGTTTTTTGCATTTTTATTCTCATCTAATAGTGTAATGAATTAAAAAAATATATACAAAAAAGGGGGAAAGGAAATCTATAATGTAATGTTTAAAAAAAGTTCACAAAGGAGGGAAGTGATCATAATCATCATGTTTAATTGATATTGTTTTAAAAGTTGCTTATTTTTTTTTGGTTTGATTTATAGATTTGTAATGTCATCCAATCCCGTATAACAAGTTGAACAAAATCTATCTTTCTGTAGCTTAATTACTTAACAGCTTAAAAACTCTGATAAATCTATGAATACACCCTGCAAAATTAAGAGTATAGATATGAACGTTCCTGAGGTTTGCAAACATTCCCATCCCCCCCCCTCTCTCTCTCTCTCTCTCTCTATTGATATATATTTTATTTTACTTCAAAATTCACGTTATGATTAATATATATATATATAGACGAAATTAAATATTGTAGGCAATTTTAAATTTAATGTGTATGTTAAAATTTTCGATTCTTTGCTTTAAAATAAAGATATTAATGAGTGTAGTTCTAGCCCGTGTCTACAAGGCTCTTGCATCGATAGGATTAACGGCTTTACGTGCTTTTGCAGCGATGGATTCATGGGCACAAGATGTGATTCAAGTAGGTTTTGCTTTTTTTCTTCATTCTAATTACAAATTGTAATGAGGTAAAGGAAAAGTCAAGGAAATATATAATGTAATATTGAAAATCTATCATAAAGGAGGGAAGTGATCATAATCATCCTGTTCAACTGATATTGTTTTAAAAGTTGCTAATTTGTTATGATTTGATTAATGGATTTGTAACGTCATCCAATCCCGTTTCAAGCTAAAGAATTTGTTCTATCTGTAGCTTAATTACTTAACAGCTTAAAAACGTCGATAAAGCTATGAACACACTTTACAAATTAAAGAATATAGATATATACGTTCCTAAATGTTGCATACACTCCAGATTCAATCCCTCTCTTTATTTATATATTTGTTAAACTTCAGAGTTCACGGTTTGGATTGATGCATATGTAGACGACATTTAATATTTTAACCAATCATATATATATATATATAATGTGTTTGCCCAAATTGTTGATTATTTGCTTTTTGGAAGATATCAACGAGTGTGCTTCTGAACCGTGTCAATATGGGGGCTTGTGTGTGGATCTGATTAACTCCTATACGTGTAATTGCAACGATGGATTCACGGGCACAAACTGTGAAACAAGTAGGTTTTTGCATTTCCATCATAATCAAATTTTGTAATGAGCTTTAAAAAATAAGTGAGGGAAATTTTTAACGTCATATTGAAAACGTTCATAAAAGAGGGAAGTGATCAAAAGCAACATGTTCGATTTATATTGTCTTAACAATTTTGTTGTTGTTTTTTATTTGATTCATAGAGTTGTAATCTCATCAAATCCCGTATCAAGTTGAAGAAATATTTCTATCTGTACCTTAATCACTTAACAGCATAACAACTCTGCTAAACTATGAATGCATTTTGCAACAAATAAAGAATAAAGACATGTACTTTTTTAATTGTTGCATACACCCCCAAATTCAACAACTCTCTCTCTATATATATATTGTATTCATACTTGAGAGTTCACGTTTCGGATTCGTGTATATATAGACGAAAATAAGTTTTGTAGCCGATCATATATTTAATGTTTATGCTCAAATGTTCAATTCTTTGCATTTCTTTTAAAGATATCAACGAATGTATTTCTAGCCCGTGTCTACAAGGAACTTGCATGGATAGGATTAACGGCTTTACGTGCTTTTGCAGTGTTGGAGACATGGGCACAAATTGTGAATTAAGTAGGCTTTGTGTTTTCATTCTAGTTAAATTTTGTAATGAGCTTTAAAAGTAAGTGAAGGTAAGTGAATGTCATATTGAAAACGTTCATAAAAGAGGGAAGTGATCGAAATAAGCATTTTCAATTTATATTGTTTAATAATTTGCTTATTGGTTAATGATTTGATTCATGGATTTGTAATGTCATCCAATCCCGTTTCAAGTTGAAGAAATATCTTTGTCTGTAGCTTAATTAATTATTCAACAGCTTAACAAATTCTGATGAAGCAATGAATACATTCTGCAAAACAAAGAATAGAGATAAGTACGCTCCTCAATTCGCATACAGTCCAACTTCCACTCCTCTCTCTCTATTCATATATTTGTTTATTCTTCAGAGTTTACGGTTTGGATTGATGAATATGTAGACTAAATTTAATATTGTAACCAATCATATATATAATGTGTTTGCTCAAATTTTCGATTCTTTGCATTTTTAAAGATATCAACGAGTGCATTTCTGAGCCGTGTCAATACGGAGGCTTGTGTGTGGATCTAAATAACTCTTATACGTGCAATTGCAACGATGGATTCACGGGCACAAACTGTGAAACAGGTACGTGTTTTTATTTCTAATTCTAATCTAAAATTGTAATGAGCAAAGAAGTCCAGGAAATCGATAATCTAAGATTGAAAAATCATGGATTTGTAAGGTCATCGAATCCCATATTAAGCTAAAAGAAATATTTATATAAGTAGCTTTATTCCTTTACAGCTTAACAACTCTGATAAAGCTATTAATAGACTCTGCAAAATAAAGAATACAATATATACGCTCCTAAATTATGCAAACACTTCTGCTCCCCCTCTTTTTCTATTGATATTTGTTATACTTCTGAGTTTACTCTTTGGATTGATGTATATGAAGACGAAATTTGATGTTGTAGCCGATCATGTATTTAATGTCTATTGTCAAATTTTCTATTCTTTGCATTTGTTTAAAGATATCAACGAGTGTAATTCTAGCCCGTGTCTACAAGGCTCTTGCATCGATCAGATTAACGGCTTTAAGTGCTTTTGCAGCGATGGATTCATGGGCACAAACTGTGAAACAAGTAAGTTTTCGCATTTTGATTCCAATCAATTGTTGTAATTAGCTAGAAATAATTCAAGGAAATCTATAATCATTGACAAAATTCATAAAGGAGGGAATACAATTCAATAAAGTCATTTCTATAGCGCTTTAAAAAAACTGACTGTTGTTTCACAGCGCTTTACATAAAAATTATCGAAGAATCTATTGTTGATCATGGTCAAAGAGGAGAGTTTTCAGACATTTTCGGAAGACATCCAGTGGAGATGATAAACGAATAAAACGTGGAAGCTCATTCCAGAGTCGAGGAGCACATGCCTTGAAAGCATTGTCGCCAGATGTGGTGTATGGTCGAGGAACGTGTAGCAGGGCGCTATCAGTACAAGAGCGAAGGCCAGGTACGATGAGAGAGTTGAGATGCACTGGAGCTTCGTTTTGGATGCACTTGTTGACAACCGTCAGGATCTTGAACACAATACGTTGCTTGATTGGAAGCCAATGTAGTTCTTTTAGCAACGGGGTGACATAATCGTGCTTGTGGGCCCAGGAGATTAGCTTTGCTGCGCGATTTTTAACCTTTTGGAGACGCTGCATTTGTGATGACTGGATCCCATACAATAATGAATTGGCATAGTCAAAACGAGCCAACACAATAGCTCGGACAGCATGCTCACATGCAGGCGCGCCAAAAGCAGTTTGGGATTGGGGGGGGGGGGGGGGCAAACATTCCAGGGGGCTCACCTTCCAGGGGCAGTGACGTAACGAGCAAAAACGTTTGGAAGGGGAGGGGAGAAGAAAAATCTGCATCACCACCACCACCAATTGGCGGAGATTCCAGGGAGCAGAGCCACCGGAAGCTCGGGGTTTTAGGTATTTAATATCGGAGTCAGATGAGCATACAGGGGCCCGCCTTAGGGCCCTTGGTGGGGTCCGGGGGCGGAGCCCCCGGAAGCTCGGGAGTTTGAGGTATTTTTTTACGGTCAGATGAGCATCCAGCGCCCCACCTTAGGGCCCTTGGTGGGGTCCAGGGGGGAGAGCCCCCGGAAGCTCAGGGGTTTAAGGTATTCAATAACGGTCAGATGAGCATACAGGGGACCGCCTTAGCGGGCCCTTGGTGGGGCCCGGGGGCGGAGCCCCCGTAAGCTCTTAGGTTTTAAGGCATTTAATTACGGTCAGATGAGCATCCAGGGCCCCGCCTTAGTGGGCTCTTGGTGGGGCCCGATGGCGGAGCCCCCGTAAGCTCTTAGGTTTTAAGGTATTCAATAACGGTCAGATGAGCATACAGGGGCCCGCCTTAGCGGGCCCTTGGTGGGGTCCGGGTGGCAGAGCCCCCGGAAGCTCAGGGGTTTAAGGTATTCAATAACGGTCAGATGAGCATACAGGGGACCGCCTTAGTGGGCCCTTGGTGGGGCCCGGGGGCTGAGCCCCCGTAAGCTCTTAGGTTTTAAAGCATTTAATATTGGTCAGATGAGCATAAAAAGGTATGATTTACGAAAAAATTTAGAAAAAATACCGGAAAATCATGTCATTTCAGCAACAAAATTTTGTAAATCACTGGTATAGAATAAAAATTTACCCCCCTCCCCCATCAGCACGCCAGCGTTTAGGGGCTCATGAGCTTTTCACCCCTATAACAAAACACAGACACGCTTTCCCATTCTCTCACAATATGTCCACGAATATTGATATAGTTAGCATGCGCAATGTTTAGGAAATTCAATTCCTGTTAACTTTCCTTTTCTTTGAATAGGATTTTATACGTCATTTAATTGAGTTTTTTTAATTATTGTTATGTTCTTTTGGGTTAAAAATACAAACCATCTTTACTCCTTTACTGCTTTTTTTTTTTTTTTTTTGAGGGGGGGGCGGCGTTTTTTTTGGGGGGGGGGCAAAAATGCGTTTTGCCCCCCACTTTTTTTATTGGGGGGGGGGGGGCAGCTGCCCCCCCTGCCCCCCCCCCCCCCCCCCACTTCCGGCGCCTATGCTCACATGCTTTCGCATTTACGAAATGTTTAAATACGAGCTATATTTGATAGGTGGTAGTGAAGTCCACGACAGAGGGATGACACATGATGATCCATCAAACTCCACACCAAGACTTTTTGCAGCAAATGTTGGATTTATCGAGAGGTAGGAAATCGACAGTTTGACATCAGACACATACTGCCGTGCTTGAGGGGTAAATACTACAATAAACTAAGTTTTGCAACAATTTAGATTCAATACATTATACGCAATCCATTTCCGGAGATACTCAACACATCTTGATAAAGATGAAAAAGCATGATTCACCGATTCTGCACTTCTAGCATCAGCAAACACATACAATGAAATATCGTCTGCATATGAGTGAAAGCGCACACCTTCATACTGTCCAATAATTATTTCCAATAGGGGTCACGTGTACACGCTGAAGAGTCGCGGTCCGATTGATCCTTGCGGTACGCCGTAATCAAGAGACTGTTGAGTAGATAGTTCACATGCTACTTTGTATCTGCTGGTGCGACCCGACAGATAAGACCCGACTGGTGAGAGCTTGAACTCGCGTAAACTCGCTTTAACTCGCGTAAAATTTACTAATTTTATAATATTTGCATGAGTGATCGAAAACGCAACATCGAGTTTCCTACGATGGATGTAAGAGTAAACCGAGTGCGATACGAGTCACGCGAGCTCGGTATGAGTGGCGATGACCTATGTACGACTAGTACCGATCTGCCAACGAGTTATATGCGATCAAAAGGCGGAAAATGCATAATTTTGGCGCTCTCCAAAAAAAGATAGATGTCACTCTGCTCATGCTCATACAAAACTCGCCGTAAATCCCCGTACTCGATCTAAACTCACGTTAATCTCGTGGGCAACTCGGCATGACTCGCAGCACGGTCGTCGTGCTCGTACTCCACCGTTTGCAACTCGAATAGAACTCGGTATACTTAAGTATAACTTAGTATAACTAAGTAAACTTAAGCAGGGCTCCCACTTAGCCGAGTTGTATTAGCGAGTTATGGCGAGGTGTGGTGAGTTGCCTCAAAGAGGCACTCGCAATAACTCGCGAACAATTCGGTATGGCTTAGCGTAACTCTTTACAACATTCCACGACTCTCCTCGAAGTCGCGAGCAGTTCCAAAATTTTGAACATGTTCAAAAAAATTCCCCGATTCGTTGTAATTCGAGGTGAACTCGCCTACACTCGTAATATACACGTATTACTTGTAACAAGCTCTCGCTGCACTTTTCATAAGGTGGCGAGTTGCTACGAGTATATTACGAGTGTTAAGCAAGTTTGCCTCGAGCTACAACGAATCAGCGAAAATTTTGAACATGTTCAAAATTTTCACTGATTCGTTGTTACTCGAGGTGAATTCGTTGTTACTCGAGGTGAACTCGCTTACACTCGTAATATACTCGCATTACTCGTAACAAGCTTGCGCTGCACTCTTCATAAGGTGGCTAGTTGCTACGAGTTATGAAGAGTGCAGCTCGAACTTGTTACGAGTAATGCGAGAATATTACGAGTGTAGGCGATTTCTCCTCGAATTACAACGAACCGGGGAAAATTTGTGAAAATGTTCAAAATTTTGGAACTGATCGCGACTTCGAGGAGAGTCTTGGAATGTTGTAAAGAGTTACGCTAAGCCATACCGAATTGTTCGCGAGTTATTGCGAGTGCCTCTTTGAGGCAACTCACCACAACTCGCCATAACTCGCTAATACAACTCGGCTAAGTGGGAGCCCTGCTTTAAGGATAATTCAAGAAGGTGGCGATTTACTACGAGTTATGAAGAGTGCAGCGCGAGCTTGTTACAAGTAATGCGAGTATATTGCAAGTAAAGCGAGTTCACCTCGAGTTACAACGAGTTAGGGAACTGCTCGCAACTTCGAGAAGAGTCGTTGAGAGTTATAACGAGTTACACAGAGCTATACCGAGTTGTCGCGAGTTATCCCGAGTTACAAAGAGACCTTTTCGCGAGTTACTGCGAGTGCCTCTTTGAGGCAACTCACCACAGCTCGCCATAAATCGCCAATACAACTCAGCGAAGTGGGAGCCCTGCTTTACTCATTTTTACACGAAAGCAGAATGAGGGATCGATGTCTAATTTGTCTAGTAGTGATCATGAGCATCATGTTCAATTTATATTGTTTTAAAATTTGCTTATTTGTTTTTTATTTGAACCATGGATTTGTAATGTTATCCAATCCCGTATCAAGTTTAAGAAATATATATATCTGTAGCTCAATTAATTAACAGCTTGAATACTCTGATGAAGCTAAGAATATACTCTGCCCCCCAAAATACACAAATGACGATAATACGTTCCTGATTTTGCATACTCCCATCCCCCCCCCCTCTCTCTCTCTCTCTCTCCAATGATATATATATTTGTTTACACTTCGGAGTTCACGTTTTGGATTGATGTTTTTATAGGGGAAATTAAATATTGTAGCCAATCATACTTTTAATGTTTATGTTCACATTTTCGATTCTTTGCCTTTTTTAAAAAGATATCAACGAGTGTAGTTCTAGCCCGTGTCTACAAGGCTCTTGCATCGATCAGATTAACGGCTTTACGTGCTTTTGCAGCGATGGATTGACGGGCACAAGATGTGAATTAGGTAGGTTTTGCATTTTCATTCCAATAAATTATTGTAATGTTCCAACAAAAAAAAGGTAAAATATAAAATGTAGTATTGAAAACTTTCATTAAGGAGCGAAAGCATCAAGTTCAATTTATAGTGTTTTAAAAAATGTTGATTTGTTTTTAATTTGATTATTGGATTTGTTAAATCATCCGATCCCGTATCAAGTTCTATATGTAGGTTAATTACATAACTTTGACAAAGCTATAAATACATTCTGCAAATTAAAGAATAAACATAATACGTTCCTGAGTTGTACATACACTCCATCCGCGTCTAAACCTCTCTCTGTTGAAACATCTATTTCTATACTTCTGAGTTAACGTTTTGGATTGATTATATTATAGGCGAAATTAAAATATTGTAGCCGATCATATATTTAATGGCTATGCTCAAATTTTCGATTATTTGCCTTTTTTCAAAGATATCAACAAGTGTAGTTCTAACCCGTGTCTACAAGGCTCTTGCATCGATCAGATAAACAGCTTTACGTGTTTTTGCAGAGATGGATTCATGGGCACAAGATGTGAATTAGGTAGGTTTCGCATTTTCATTATAATCAACTATTGTAATGAGCTTTAAAAAGTCATGGAAATTTATAATGTAATATTGAACAACTTTTATAAAGGAGGGAAGTGATCATAAGCATCATGTTCAATTTATATTGTTTTTTAAAGTTGCTTATTCGTTAATGATTTGATTCATGGATTTGAAATGTTATTCTATTCCGTTCCAAGTTGAAGAAATATTTATATCTGTATTTTAATAACTTAACACCTAAAAAAGTCTGATATATCTTTGAGAACAAAATCTTCAAAAGAAAGATTAGAGATATGAACGTTCCCGAATATGCTTACACTCCAATTTCCACTCCTATCTCTATTTATATATTTGTTTATACTTCAGGGTTTACGTTTTGAATGAATGCATATGTCGACGAAATTTAATATTGTAACCATGCATTTATTTAATATGTTTGCCTTAATTTTCGATTCTTTACTTTTTGAAAGATATCAACGAGTGCATTTCTGAACCGTGTCAATATGGAGGCTCGTGTGTGGATCTGATTAACTCCTATACGTGCAATTGCAACGATGGATTCTTGGGCACAAACTGTGAATCAAGTAGGTTTTTGGATTTTCATTGTAATGAAATATTGTATTGAGTTTTCAGAAAAAAGGCAAGGAAATTTATAATGTAATGTTAAAAATAGTTGATAAAAGAGGGAAATGATCATAATTATCATGTTCAATTTATAGTGTTTTAAAAGTTGATTATTTGTTTTTGATTTGACTAATGGATTTGTAATGTAATCCAATCTCGTATCAAGTTAAAGAAATATTTTTTTATTTGTAGCTTAATTACTTAACAGCTTATAAAGCTCTGATGAAGCTATAAATACACTCTGCAAAAATAGGAATGAAGATATCAACGTTCCTGAATCGTGCATACATTCCCACCCCCTCTCTCTATCTCTCTCTCTCTCTATTGATATATATGTTGTTATACTTCATATTTCATGTTTATGATTGATGTATAAATATACGGAATTAAACATTGTAGACAATCATAAATTTAATGTGCCTGCTCGAATTGTTGAATCTTTGCCTTTAACAAAAAGATATCAACGAGTGCAGTTCTAACCCGTGTCTACATGGCTCTTGCATCGATCGGATTAACGGCTTTACGTGCTTTTGCAGCGATGGATTCATGGGCACAAATTGTGAATTAAGTAGGTTTTGCATTTTCATTCTTATCAAATAATATTATAATGAGCTAACAAAAGTCTAAGAAATCTATAATGTAATATTGAAAAACCTTCATGAAGGAGGAAAGTGATTATAAACATCATGTTTAATTTATATTGTTTTAAATTTTTCATATTTGTTACAATTTGATTCATTGAAGAAATATTTATATCTGTAGCGTAATTATTTAACAGCTTAAAAACTCTGATATACCTTTGAATACACTCTGTAAATTAACGAATAGAGATATATACGTTCCTGATTTTCGCACACACCCCCAAAGTTAATATTTTGACCAATCATTTATTTAACGTGTTTCCTCAAATTCTCGATTTTTTGCTTGTTGCAAGATATCAACGAATGTGCTTCTGAACCGTGTCAATATGGGGGCTTGTGTTCGGATATGATTAACTCCTATACGTGCAATTGTAACGATGGATTTACGGGCACAAACTGTGAAACAAGTAAGTTTTTGCATTTTCATTCTAATCAAATATTGTAAAGAAATCTATAATGTAATATGGAAATCTTTCACAAAGGAGGGAAGTGAACGTAAGCATCATGTTCAATTTATATTGTTTTAAAATTTGCTTCTTTGTTTCTTTATTTGATTGTCACCCAATCCCGTATCAAGTTAAAGAATTTTTTTCTGTAGATTAATAACTTAACAGCTTAACGCCTCTAATAAAGCTACAGTGTATGAATACACTCATAAAAATGAAGAATACAGATATGTACGTTCCTTATTGTGTATACACTCCCACTCCTCCGCCCCTCTCTCTCTCTAATGATATATACTTGTTTACACTTAGAGTTCACTTGTGGATTCATGTATACAAATATTGACGCAATTATTGATTATAAACTTGCAGCTCGCACTCTTTCAATACGATTACAGAAAGTAGTATGCAAACTTGTATCACAGGATCAGGCTGGTTTACTAATAAACTACTCACATCTGAAAGTACCAGCCTTATTCAGGAAACCATTGACTATTGTCTTTTTGCAAATAAAACAGTTGTTATGATGTTCTTGTTTTTAAAAAAAGCGTTCGTACTATTGATTTTGATTTTGTACTGCCCTTGTTACGGGAACTTTAATTTAAAGATTCGTTTTTTTAAGATGGATTCAAACATTACATAATGGTGCTCATGGTCGTGTTTTAAATGTTCGCTGAAAATCCGAGAAATTCGCAATAGAAAGAGGCGTTAGGCAAGGTTGGCCACTTTCTCCCCTTTTATTTATAAACATTGCAGAGGTTTTAGCTATGGAAATTTAACAAACGCCCAAATAGAGGGAATCCAAGTCCCAGACTTCAATGAAGACAAATCTGATTTTAAAGATATACGTATCGTTCAATATGCAGACGATACAATGATTATTACTAATTATGTTCAATTTGTTAAAGAAAAAATGAAAGAAGTAGAAGCGATTGGAGAACATGCGGGACCAAACATTAACTGGACCAAATAAAATCTCATGAAACTCAATATAAATGACTTGAAGTTGAAGATTTATATTTTACCGAAGACCCTATAAAATGTGTCGGTATATATGTGGATGAACATTATCTTGACGTTTAACATATGAACTGGGAAAGTAAAGTAGAGAAAATATATAAATAATACCTTGGATTAATGGAAAATTAGAAAACTTACATCATACGTAAAATTTGATGTGATTAAACAGTTAGTTATGTCTCAGATAGTACATGCTGAAACGGCAGTTCCGATCCCTTCTAAAATAATTAAACGTATAAATAAACTGGCTTACACATTTGTATAGAATTCTAAAAAAAGAAAAAGTTAAACGAAACATCTGTCACCATCCTGAAATAGAGGGGGGTCGACTTACAGTCGAAATGCTGGTCACTCCGTCTATCAAGGATTTGTATAAGTATTTAAGAGGTGAACAAAGTGCTTGGAACATTTTGTTTAAATACTGGATCCAGAAGATTGGGGATTTGCCTTTTTGTTTACATTTTAATTGCAAAAAGAGCGATATGTATCGTATTGCCTAACTTTTATGTTGACATGTTTTGTTCGTGGGCTGAATTGACATATATTGATATGTTTACAGTAACAGATAGTGATAATGAAATGATTTGGTATAATAGCAATATTAAAAATAAGAATGAGTTATTGCATTTTCCAAACTGGATAAGGAACAGTATTCTTACAGTTAAACATGTATTAGTGCAGTATCTGGAAATAAGTTGATTCCATTTGTATTAATTTTAAAGAAAATTAATTACTTTCCGCCTTCAATTGGCAAAGTTAAAAAGTGCAGTTCCGAATTTTTGGATGCAGAAGTTACGTAGTAGGATACATTATGTAAAATTTCACCGTATGCAGTGGAGTTTCGTACAATAGAAATGGTAACAAGTGACTCCGATGATGTAGCGGGCATGAGGACCAAACAATATTATAATGGAATGTTAGACAAAAATAAACAGGATCTGCCGTGCATTTATTTTTGGAACTCTCATTTTGATTTACCTAATGAGTTTAACTGTAAGACGGTGCTCCGTTTTAAATGTTACTTTATAAATGACAACAGAATTAAGCTTAATTTTAAGTTTAATTTTAAATATATTCATAAAATATGACCCAGTCAAGACAAATCATGTAAATGAAAGATTAAAAAATAATAATCTATGTGATATATGTAAGATCTTAAATACGACTAACCACCTTTTCCTGGCTTCTAAGAAGGTTTCGCCTTTTTTGTAAGATTGTATCAAAATTAATCGATACTTTGTTTAATTTTTAAATCTTTCTGAACGAATAAAATCTTTTAATAGGTCATGAAATAGTGAGAAGAGAATCTTGTTTTAAACTTTGCCCAGTTTATTTTCTACAAGAACTATATTAGAGAATGTTTTGGAAGTGAAAATCATAGGATACATGCTGTATATTTGATAAAAGAATTAAAGGTAGAAATTCGCACCTATCTCGATATGAAATGTATCCAGAAGAAATTCGATACAAACGAAGTAACACAAATATTTTCAATATTTGCGTTATGTTACAATTGCATAAATCCTGTATATAAACATTTGTTGTAAAAAAAAACTGTTATTTTATGTTACGAACAAATAAAGTCCCTCCAAAGAGGATAGATAGAAGAAGAAAATAATGACGAAATTAAATATTGTAGCCGATCATACAGTTAATGTCTATGCTCACATTTTCGATTCTTTGCATTTGTTAAAAGATATCAACGAGTGTAGTTCTAGCCCGTGTCTACAAGGCACTTGCATCGATTGGATTAACAGCTTTACGTGCTTTTGCAGCGTTGGAGATATGGGCAAAAATTGTGAATTAAGTAGGTTTGTGTTTTTATTCTTATCAAATATTGTAATAAGCTAAATAAAAGTCAAGGAAATTTATGATGCAATATTGAAAACGTTCATGAAGGAGAGAATGATATTAAGCATCAGGTTTAGTTTATACTGTTTTAAAAGTTGCTTATTTGTTTATGATTTGATTCATGGATTTGTAAAGTAATCCAATCAAGTTTCAAGTTGAAGAAATATTTCTATCTGTAGCTTAATTATTAAACGACTTGATAAATGTTGATACAGCTATAAAATACATTCTGCAAGATATAGAGTAGAGATATGTAACCCCTCGAATTTCTGCAAACACTCCAACCTCCACCCTCTCTCTGTTTATATATTTGTTTATATACTTCAGAGTTCACGGTTTGGATTGATGCATATTATGTAGACGATGTTTAATATTGTAACCAATCATATATTTAATGTGTTTGCTCAAATTCTCGATTATTTGCTTTTTTAAAGATATCAACGAGTGTGCTTCTGAGCCGTGTCAATATGGAGGCTTGTGTGTGGATCTGAATAACTCTTATACGTGCAATTGCAGCGATGGATTCACGGGCACCAACTGTGAAACAAGTAGGTTTTCGCATTTTTTCATTCTAACCAAATATTGTAATGAGCTTTAAGAAGGGCAAGGGTATATATACAATGTAATTTTGATCAAATTTCATAAAGAAGGGAAGTGATCTAATTATCATGTTCTATTGATATTGTTTTAAAAGTTGCTTATTTGTTCATGTTATGTCATCCAATCCCGTTACAGGTTGAAGAACAACTTCTATCTGTAGCTCAATTACAATAACAGCTTAACAACTCTGATAAAGCTATGAATACACTCTGCAAAATAAAGAATGAAGATATGAACTTTCCTGAATTTTGCATACATTCCCACTCCCACCCCCCCCCCCTCTCTCTATTGATATAAATGTTGTTATACTCCAGAGTTAACGTTTTGGATTGATGTTTATATAACAACATTTAACAATGTAACCGATCATTTAACTAATGACTTTGCTTATATTTTCAATTTCTTTGCCTTTTTTTAAAGATATCAATGAGTGTAGTTCTAACCCGTGTCTACAAGGCTCTTGCATCGATCAGATTAACGGCTTTAAGTGCTTTTGCAGCGATGGATTTATGGGCGCAACATGTGAATCTAGTAGGTTTTGCATTTCCATTCTAATCAAATATTGTAATGAGCTACAAAAAAACGCAAGGATATCTATAATGTAATATTTAAAAACTTTCATAAAGGAGGGAAGTGATCTTAAGTATCAGTTCAATTGATATTGTTAATAAAAGTTGCTTTGAAAAAAATTGAATCATGGATTTGTAATATCATCCAATCCCATATCAAGTTAAAGGAATATTTGTATATGTAGCTTAATTACTTAACAACTTAAACACTCTGTTCAGGCTTTGAATACACTCTGCAAACAAACGAATAAAGACATGTACGTTCCTGAATGTTGCATACACTCCCACTCCGATCCACCTTCTCTCTCTCTCTCTCTCTCTCTCTCTCTATTGATTTATATTTTCTTGTACTTCAGAGTACATGTTTTTGATTGATGTATATAATATATAGACGAAATTAAATATTGTAGCAGATCATACTTTTAACGTTTATGGTCATATTTTCGATTCTTTGCCTTTTTAAAAAGATATCAACGAGTGTAGTTCTAGCCCGTGTCTACAAGGCTCTTGCATCGATCAGATTAACGATTTTACGTGCAATTGCACTGATGGATTCATGGGCACAAGATGTGAATTAGGTAGGTTTTGCATTTTTCTTCTAATCAAATATTGTAATGAGCTTTAAAAAATCAAATCAATCTATAATGTAATATTAAAATACTTTTATAGTAAAGGAGAGAAGCGATCATAGGCATCATGTTCAATTTATATTTGTTTATAAAGTGTTTATTTGTTTTTAATTTGATTCATGTATTTGCAATGTCATCCAATCCCGTATCAAGTTGAAGAAATATTTATATGTGTAGCTTTACTACTTGACAGCTTACAAAGTCTGATAAAGCTATGAATACACTCTGCAAAATAAAGAATACAGATATAAACGTTCCTGAACTTTGCATACACTCCCACCCCTCCCCTTCTCTCTATATATTGATATATATATACACTGTTGGTCATAATGGTGGAATAATTATTTTTACCCCAGTTTAGGGAAGGATTAAAAAAAAAAAACATTTCTAATTGATCTAGATAATGGCATACATTCTCAGATTTTATTGAATATTAATTTGCGAGTGTTTGTTTTGCGTGACTGCTAAATCATATGTGTGCTACTATGCTAATCAGCTAGGGAACCTACGTCCTTAAATCATAATTGACAGTAATGAGGATTAATGCCTCACAAAAGGGCATTAATATAGCTGATGGACACGATTTTTATACTGGGGCCTCACAGTAATGAGGCCATTCTTTAGCCCCTGAATCATGACTGTGCGCAGTGTTTGCTAGGGTACGCAGCCCCTTCCACAAATCCCCCAAAACGAAGAAAATGCAATAAATTGTCAAAAATTCATTGCATTTTTCCCTGGCCCCCAACAGGAAAAATTCCTCTGTAGGGCCATGCATTATGGTTCAAGGCATGGCCACACAGAGGAATTTTTCCTGTTGGGGGCCGGGGGAAAATGCAATGAATTTTTGACAATTTATTGCATTTTCTTCGTTTTGGGGGATTTGTGGAAGGGGCCGCGTACCCTAGCAATCACTGCGTACAGTCATGATTCAGGGGCTAAGCAATGGCCTTGTTACTGTGAGGCCCCAGTATAAAAATCGTGTCGATCAGCTATATATTAGTACTCTTTTGTGAGGCATTAATCCTCATTACTGTAAATTATGACTTAGGACGTAGGTCCCTTAGCTTATTAGCATAGTAGCACACATATGATTAAGCAGTCACGCAAAACAAACACTCGCAAATTAATATTCAATAACATCTGAGAATGTATGCCATTATCTAGATCTATTAGAAATAAGTAATTTTTTAAAATCCTTCCCTAAACTGGGGTAAAAATAAATATTCCACCATTATGACCAACAGTGTATATATATATATATATTTGTTGATACTACAGAGCTAATGTTTTGGGTTGATGCATATATTGAAGCCGATCATATATTTAATGTCTATGGTCAAATTTTCGATTCTTTGCATTTGTTAAAAGATATCAACGAGTGTAGTTCTAGCCCGTGTCTACAAGGCTCTTGCATCGATCGGATTAACGGCTTTACGTGCTTTTGCAACGAAGGATTTATGGGTACAAGATGTGAAATAAGTAGGTTTTGCATTTTCATTCTCATCAAATATTGTAATGAGGTAAACAAAAAAAAGTCAGTGAAATCTATAATGTTATATTTAAAATATTTCATAAAAGAGGGAAGTGATCATAAGTTCGATTTATATCGTTTTAAAAGTTGCTTATTTGTTTTTTGATTTGAACCATGGATTTGTATCAAGTTGAAGAAACATTTATATCCGTATGCTTATTACTGAGCAGCTTAACAAGTCCGATAAAGCTATGAATACTCTCTGCAAAGTATAGAATAAAGATATGTACCTTCTTGAACTTTGCCTATACACCCTCTCCCCCTCTCTCTTTATTTATATATAGTTTATTATACTCCAGAGTTCACGTTTTGGATTTATCTTTATATAGCAAAATGTAATATTGTAGCTGATCATTTAAATTAATGGCTATGCTCAATTTTTCGATGTGTTGCCTTTAAACAAAAAGATATCAGCGAGTGTAGTTCTAGCCCGTGTCTACAAGGCTCTTGCATCGATCAGATTAACGGCTTTACGTGCTTTTGCAGCGATGGATTCATGGGCACAAGATGTGAAATAGGTAGGTATTGCATTGTAATTCTAGTCAAATATTATAATGAGCTATATAAAAAGTCAAGGAAATCTAAAAATGAAATACTGAAAAACTTTCATAAAGGAGGGAAGTGATCATAAGCATAATGTACAACTTACATTTTTCCGAAATTACTTATTTGTTTTTAATTTGATTCATGGATATGTGATATCTTCCGATCCCGTTTAAAGTTCGAGAATTATTACTATTATGTAGCTTAATTATGTACCTAATAGCTTAATAACTCTGATAAAGCTATTGATACACGTTGCCATAAACAGAATAAAGATAAGTACGCTCCTGAATGTTGAATACACTCCAATTTCCAACCCTCTCTTTATTTATATATTTGTTAATACTTCAGAGTTCACGGTTTGGATTGATGCATATGAAGACGAAATGAAATCAATCACATATTTAATGTTTTTGCTCAAATTTTCGATTCTTTGATTTTTTCTAAAGATATCAACGAGTGCATTTCTGAACCGTGTCAATATGAAGGCTTGTGTTTGGATCTAAATAACTCCTATACGTGCAATTGCAGCGATGGATTGACGGGCACAAACTGTGAAACAAGTAGGTTTTTTAAACAGTAGGCTTGCGGTTGCACCATATGAGAGAGGGGAGGATTGGGGAGTCCTGAAAAAGGCTCCCGGTAATCCTTCTGTCTTGAGTGTGTGAAGTCCTGAAAAGTACTGTAGGTTTCTGAATTTTAATTCTCAACATATATTGTAATGGGCTTTATTTTTAAAGTGTAGGAAATCAGTAATATGATGTTGAAAAACTTTCATAAAAGATGGAAGTGCTCATGAGCATCTGGTTCAATATATTGTTTTAAAAGTTGCTTATTTGTTTATGATTTGGTTCATGGATTTGTAATGGCATCCAATCCCATATTAAGCTGAAGAAATATTTCTATCTGTAGCTTAGTTACTTAACAACTTAAACATTCGGAATAAGCTATGGATACATTCTTCAAAATAAAGAATAGAGATATGGGTTGTTTTACAATCAGGGTACACACTTTGTCTCACTTGGGGTGAAAAAAAAAGTTCCTTTGATTCTTCTGAAATTTTGTTTGTGTGTTGTATACAAGTTACTTGTAAAGTCTGTACAATTTTAGGGCTACAGGTGTCAATTTTTTTTTCTTCAAGCATGAAACATGTCCTTAATGAAAATATAGGGTCAAATGTCACCTGCTGACATTATGCAGAAAGAAAATATCTATAACTTCTTTGGATGAATGTGAATGACATAGTTTGATAACTTGATGATATAGAATCAGAATAAAACTCATTTTTTCAAGTGCAAAATGGTTTTATTCGTGTAAAATTCAGTTTTGGATCTTTTCAAACCACAAAATGATGGACTGACAGCGTGAAGTTACTGATTAAAAAAACACCAGAGCAGTTTGACCCTATATTATGTACAGCACAGCTACACATGGTAAGGGTGCTTTTGCATACCAAATTCCAGAATAAAAATATAAATGGTTCTTGAGATATGTGGCGTCAAAAAAATGTTCGGAGAGGACAAATTTTAGTTCGGAAAGGACATTATTTTTGACATGCAGTTGGAACTGCCCGATACAATTATGATTCATTATTTCATGGCATAAATGAAACTGGAAAAATGTGAGGTTTATTAGAACATATTTTATCCCTATTAGCACCCATTTATGATCTGCATGTAGATCTTCAATCACCCATCGTAGAGAAATTATCTTCTCCCTCACTTTAAGACTTACCAGTACTAAACACTTGATTCACATTGAACTAAATATTGTCAGAAGGTAGCTGGACAATGCTGTGATTCTAAAGTTACAAGTTTTTAGGAATAGTTAACCATATATCAGTGTTTTGAAGATTTTACATGCTTTACACTAATATTCGGAGAGAACATTAGTTGTTGACATATGATTGGTTTGTGCTCGTAATCCATTTTCCTTATAAACACAACAATACTATGTGTGCAACTTATGTAGAATCTTAGACAGAACTTGTATGTCTCATGAACATAAGTTTTGGGCATGCTCCTCATATGACTCCACCAACTAAACATCTAGACCGGCAGATATAACTCATATAATATACAATGCCTACAATGTTCTCTTCAAACTAGTTTTATCGTAATGCAACAGAGGACTTAACTGAAAGTCCATTGCAATCATTGTATGGGATTAAATTCCTGCCTTTTGATGTACAATGTGTACAAGAGATATATAAATGAATATTTATTGGCATGATGTAATGCCTTGTAGCATGCCACGGGCGGCTGGGCGCAGCCATTTTTCTTTAAAATGTGATGTACCAGGCGGATTTGTACAGTCTCGTGCACAAAGCTTTAATTGGAAAGACTTTTACATTGAACAAAACAAACCTTACTGTACAATCATAGCCGAGAACGTAAAAATTACATTTGGTGAAAAGTATATAAAAGAGTACCTAACATCATACATGGGAACGTCCGCTTGGACTAGGATAGCTAGAGACAGAAGAGAATGGAAATGTTATGAGGAGGGCTGTGTCCAACGTCTGGGTGAACTATAGCCTGAAAGATAGATATAATAGGGTTACAATTGTAACTCATTGATTAAAAAATACTATAATATATTTCATTTATGCGAAACCTTCACCCCAGAACAGTACCAACTTAAGCACGCATTATAATCCAAGATGGCGGCCCGCAGGTTTTTGCCTCTTCTCTTAGACCAATATTATTAATTTCAAACTCATGAAAGGCACTAAATATCAACAAATATGGACTACAACAACCCCAAATGACAAAATAATCATAAATATGCATTTTTTTTAAAGCATTTGATAGCCAAAAACTTGAAAGATTTTGGCATTAGAAAAACAAATCTGCCGATTTTTATTCACGATCATTTTTATTGATCGGCGTTCAGAAATATTATTCGATCTCACTTGATCGGCCAACGATCGTCCCCCGATCCGATGATCGGTTACAGGCCTACTAAATTCTACAGGTCTCCCTTTTTTCAGGTTGCATCGGCCGAACTTTGGAATAAATTACCGGAAAATCTTGAACAAACTGTGATACTGTTGACAACTTTAAGGCGCGTCTTAAAATTTTCTTTTCACAAATATTTCCAATGTTAACGAGAGGAAGTATGTTGAGCATATCTAACTCTTCTTATGTTACTCTATCCACCTTTCCTTCTTTCTCCTTCTTACAGCGCATATAGAGACATATTGTGATATGCGCTAAATAAGTACGGTATATTATTATTTTTATTTGTTTTATTAGCCATGAACTTGATGATGTAAAGTGGACCAGATTTCACTGCATATTCACTTGATGTATAAATCTGTTCCACCACGAAATATCGTCAACCTGAAATGTTTATGGACTAGGACAAAGCATCCCCACATCCAATAGTATAACAGCAACAAAGTTGTTTTATGTGATTAACCTGAATATGAAGACTTTTTATGGAAGTATGTAAATATGTTGAACAAACTGCTGTCCTCTCCGAAACCAAAGAGACTATTTATATAGATAGTATCTAGATAGTTTAATTAACAGTACTGGAAACGTGGAAAGGTATAAACACAAACAATAAATTCAATTATATGGATTGAAAGTCTTAATTCTTCCGGGTATACATTACATCATGCTTCATGGAATTATAGGGGTGAAATTAGGTTGTGACTGGACATAATTAAAATAACCTCCCATCAAATAACAGGAAGATGTTAAGATTGTAATACCCACCTCATGATGAATTAAAATTAGGGTAGTTTTTGTAAATCCATGCACTTTGTAGACTTTTATTACTGTCATTTATCCATCTACTGATTATGGGTCGGAGAGGACATTTTGTTTGACACCTTCAAAATCAGTGTGAATATTACAAAATCAGTGTGAATATTAAACAAAACAAATATTATCCATTGCACAAGATTAAAAAATGTTAGGTATACTAATAACATAAGTTGGTTTCTAAATGTGGCTCTTCTTGAAGGAGTGCTGATAAAAAATATCACTTTTTCAGAGAGAACACTTTTTGACACACCCCTGACAAACAAATTAGAAACGTGCATTTACCAAAAAACTGATTAAGTGTGGGAAAATTTAATATCATAATTTTGTAGGATATTGGTGACTCTATTCACGGAGGAAAAAATAATTCATTGAGTGTGGTCTCACTTTAAATTATAGCGCTGGTTTCGGAGAGGACCTTTTTTGACCCATTTTGCACCTCATTTTTGGTGCATAGTCAAAATATGTAGATTTGCCAAAATATTACACCCAATTCAGATCTTACATAGGCCCGTTGGAAGGGTTATTTCTGATAGTTGAAAATGTTTTCTTTGGTACGTATGTCAGACATGCACATGTTCTAACTTTGCAAAAAATGAAATGAGACAGTAAATTGTGAAAAAATGGCATATAATCACATATTTTGAAAAGTAGTTGCTTGTTTCAAACAATTTCCTTCGCTGTTGTAGGTTGATCTAACAGTGTAAAATAGTTGCCCAAGGAAGATTTTCCTTGGCTGTTCATTGTTTTTTTAAAGGGCCATCAAAGTGAGTTTGTCTATTGTGTACCCTGATTATAAAACAATCCATATGGACGTTCCAAAATGCTGCATACACTCCTACCTCCACTCCTCTCTCCATTTATATATTTGTTTATACTTTAGAGTTCACGGTTTGGATTGAGGAATATGTAGACTAAATTCAATATTGTAACCATGCATATAATCAATGTGTTTGCTCAAATTCTCGACTTGCTTTGTTAAAGATATCAACGAGTGCATTTCTGAACCGTGTCAATATGGAGGCTTTTGCTTAGATCTGATTAACTCCTATACCTGCAATTGCAACGATGGATTCACGGGCACAAACTGTGAAACAAGTAGGTTTTTTACATTTTCATTCTAATCAAATTTTGTAATAAGCTAAACAAATACAAGTCAAAGAAATCTATAATGTAATATTGAAAAAACTTTCATAGTAATTAAGGAGGGAAGCGATCAAAAGCATCGGGTTCAATTCATATTGTTTTAAAAGTTGCTTATTTGTTATGATTTGATTCATGTATTTGTGATGTCACCCAATCCCGTTTAAAGTTGAAAAAAATATTTTCATCTTTAGCTTAATTATTTAACAGTTTTAAAACTCTAATAAAGCTATGAATACACTCTGCAAAAAAGGGTATGTACATTCCTGGATTGTGCATACACTCCCACTCCCCCTCTTCATATTGATATATATTTTTATACTTCAGAGTTCACGGTTTTGATTGATGTACATATAGACGAACTTAAATACTGTAACCTATCATATATTTAGTGTCTATGCTCAAATTTTCGACTCTTTGTCTTTTTTTAAAGATATCAACGAGTGTATTTCTAGCCCGTGTCTACAAGGCTCTTGCATCGATCAGATTAACGGCTTTAAGTGCAATTGCAGCGATGGATTCATGGGCACAAGATGTGAATTAAGTAGGTTTCACATTTTCATTCGAATCAAGTATTGTATTAAATGAGCTTAACAAATTCAGAGAGAAAGATGTTGATGGGGCTGATTTCTTGGCGCCAGCCCGCTAGACCGAACATATCAGTCTGTCCTGGGCCTTCGAGCCACATTCACGAGGGCTCACTAGACTGTCGGGCCGCGAGACAGACGGTTTCCTATCTTCCGTTAAGTATTCCTTTGCTTTGTCAGTCTCGTGGATTGTCGGTCTCGTAGCCTGCCGGTGTAGTGAACTATAAAGTGGAACTTCCTCCTTTAAAAAATGTGTAATCCTGAAAAGGAATTCACTGTAAATCAAAACAAAGGTGATTTTAAGAAAATCACATTTTGTTACACTGTCGCTCATAAAGGTGGAATATTTTTTTAAATTCCAATTTATGGAATTATTTTGAAAATAATTTAAAAATAATAGATCTAGATAATAGTATACATTCTCAGATTTTATTGAATAATAATTTGCCAATGTGTGTTTTGCGTGACTGCTAAAGCATGTGTATGCTACTATGCTTATCAACTAGGGGACCTATGCCCTTAAGTCATAAATGACAGTAATGAGGATTAATGCCCCACAAAAGGACACTAATATAGCACATCGACACGGTTTTGATCCTGGGGCCTCACAGTTACGAGGCCATTGTTTTGTCACTGAACCATGACTGTACGCAGCGGGGGCTAGGGTAGGGGGCAGTTTTCATAAATTTAAAAAAAAAACAGAAAATGCAATAAATTTTCAATAATTTATTGCATTTAACCCCGGTGCCTAACATTAAAAAAAATTATGTGTGCCCATGCCTTAAGCCATAATGCATGGCCGTCAAGAGGATTTTTTTATGTTGGGGACCGGGGTAAAATGCAATAAATTATTGAAAATTTATTGCATTTTCTGTGTGTTTTTTAATTTATGGAAACTGCCCCCTACCCTAGCCCCCGCTGCGTACAGTCATGGTTCAGTGACAAAACAATGGCCTCGTAACTGTGAGGCCCCAGGATCAAAACCGTGTCGATGTGCTATATTATTGCCCTTTTGTGGGGCATTAATATAGTATTAATGACTGCTTTGAGAGAAATAGTTGTTTTCATACGCTCTCGGGAAGGTTACAATTGGGCTATTCCCCTCGGCAAGCCTCGGGGAATAGCACAATTCTAACCTTCCCTTGAGCGTATGAAAACAACTATTTCTCGAATATTAAAGCAGTCATTAATACTTTTATATGCCGAAAAAAAATAGACTAAAAAATAAAAAATAAAAAATACTTTTTTTTTTGGTCGAAGATGAGATTCGAACTCTTGCGTACAAAAGGTGATATGTCTAAAGTCAGCGCCTCAAACCTCTCGGCCATCGCGCGTTGTTAACATGTATAGCAGTTTTGTACAATATATACATTAAAATGGATTGAAACCGGCTTCGCGTGTGATGAATGCTTCGCAAAAGCTCCATATACGGACTCTTCTTTTACTTTTGCAATGCATATTGGCACGAACTTAGATCAAGATCTATCGGCAGATGTTGTTTTTTTGTTTTTGGAAGTTTATTTTCGTCTTCATGTCAACAATGCAAGATAAAATTGTCGGTAAGATCGATCGAGATTCAATTGTATTGAAATTACCGACCTATCCTTCGCACACATACGGCATCCTCCATCGCTCAAACCATTTTTTAACATGTAAACCTATGGGGTAACCATGGAGGCTGACCAACTTTTTTTAATAACCATGGTTATTAAAAATATTGAAATGTTTTATGCATGGTTACCGAGAATTTTACAGGAACAGTTGAAGTTTATGAATGCAATTCGACCAATCAGATGGCTGGATTTCTTAAGTGAGGTATATAATCCTCATTACTGTCATTTATGACTTGAGAGCGTAGGTCCCCTAGTTAATAAGCATAGTAGCATACACATGCTTTAGCAGTTCCGCAAAACACACGTTGGCAAGTTATTATTCAATAAAATCTGAGAATGTATATTATTATCTATATCTATTATTTTTAAAGAATTTTTAAAATAATTCCATACATTGGGGTAAAACTAAAATATTCCACCTTTATGAGCGACAGTGTATAAAACAATTAATATCTGTATGTTTCGAGTTTGTGGACATCTTCCTTGGATAATGTAATCCTAATTTTTAAAAGCCTCATTTTCATTATAGTAAGTATTGGGCAAATGAATTACTTTTAAAACAATAACACATTCCTTCTATTAATTGACATATATTTTTAATCTTCTAATTAGGAACTATAGCTTGTGGAGATTTCTACTGCGTGTACGGCGATTGTGTCGATGTCGGATCCTGTGTATGTAATCCTGAGTATTTGGGAAGGTCCTGTGATATCAGTAAGCATATTGTCATTCTATTGAGTTTTGTATCAGTGCTATTAATTTCTAAAAGTTTGAACTTGCATACTTTGTATTCCGTGTCTCTGTTTTCACAAAAAATTGTCCAAAATTTGTTTAAACAAAGAAAAGACGGTAAAAATGGTTTGCAGATGATATAGATAATAGACATTCTAAATACATTGTTTTCGTATCATACGTAATTCTTATCGTAGTATAAAGAGAAAGAGAAATAATAATAATGCTTATAATAATACTCATAACACTAACAATAATGGGTTTATGAAGCTCTTAATACATCTAAGATAGATTTATGTGGTTTGCAGATAAATTATCAACCTGGTCATGAAGTTCACACTTCCCACTCCCTAGGGAGTATTCAAGTCAGGCGCCATTTTACAAAAGCTAATACGTGGGTGGGGAGAAGCAGTTTATACAAAATTCCTTGCTTAAGGAAATAAGTACCTCGCCGGAGATCAAGCCGAGAACCCTTTGAATTATGTATTCAAGTGTTTAAACCACTCTTTTACGACACCCCTTACATAACTTGTAATAACTTCTGTAAATTAAACGTGCATTAATTGTATACGATATCCTTTTATGCTATAAAAAATAGAATATACATCATGTATAAAAGATAGGTGATATCAGATATTGCTTGTCTGACCACCTTTTCCATGTGTATACGATGATAGATAATGCAGATTATATAACGACTTGCGGACGCACTCGTATTTCCGATGATTCTTTTTTCCAAACCCCCAACTTTTCCAGGGGGTTCATAACTCCGAAACTGAAATAGGGTTCATATTTCCGAATATTTGTAGCATTATTCCGAAGAGATTTGTTTATTCCCAGTTTTAAAATTCATGAAGTGAAACAAGGTTCATTATTCTGAAAGTGTGACCTACCCCCCCCCCTCCCTCCCTCGAAAAAAAATGAGCAACGATTCAGGCGTCTGCCATTTTCCGAATTACGTGCCTAGAAAAAAGGGTAACCGGATTTCACTATTCCATTAATTAGAACGCACATGTTCGAACGTCACGATGGAAACTGAATTCGGACAGGCCAGACTTCCGATGACTGAAGTTGGAATCGTTATTGACTCGGAAGAACTGTGCCCAGAGGAAGATTCTGAAGGTAGGTTAAAGTGTAGTTGTATATTTTAACAATTTCCGGGGTTGGGGGGGGGGGGATGGGTTCAAAATGTGTTTTAACAGAATACCGAAAAAAAAAATCTTTAATTTGACATTACTACAAAATTCACTGACCACAAAAGAAGAAAAAAATTATGGAAGACATAAATTGGATACTTTGTTAAATTTTCTTTTTCTTGCGGAGTAGTTATGCATTATAATGTCAAAGTAGTCTTTAAAAAAGGAATATTAAATATGTTTCATGTGAAGTTTAGTATAGGAATATGACACACACGTCGTTTAACATAAACATGTACCATCAATTCCAACTCCACAATACCATTTATTTTATTCCTTTTTATTCCTTATTTTATTTGATCTTATGTATGTAATAACGTATTTGATCTCTACGTATGTAAATATGTAGAGGTGTCGCGGATGAGTGGATACGTCGCAGGACTGTCGATTGCAAGGTCCGCGGTTCGAGTCCCGCCGCGGCACTAATGTCCTTTGACAAGACATTGATGTACATTTGCCACTCTCCACCCAGGTGCTAAATGGGTACCGGTAATTTAGCACCGGTAATCCTTAAAATGCTGTGAGCGTCGAAATTGGCAGCCTAGCATAGCCGGGTAATGTTGGAGCGCCTTGAGGACCTTGCAAGGTCGATACGTGCGCTAGATAAGAATCCAATATATAATATTTTATTTATTATCAGTTAAGTCTTTACTTGACTCTCATCTGTAATCGATTTTAGGCTGTTTTGGGTTACAGAGAAATACAACTATAAACCAATAGCAGTTCAGAGTTTTCTAAGGGTGTAAATCAATCAGCTTTACCTCCTCAAATTGACACCGACCATTCACAGTTTAAACAATAAAAATGAACATAGAATAAACCAGTTTGCATAAAATTTTACTAAAGAAAAAAAGAAATTGAACACACAACTTGTACACAAGAATAGTAAATATAAATTTCACTTAGCGTTACCGATTTGGAAACGTCAATGATCTTTATCGATTAAATCGCTCTTATGTTTGAACGACACAATGTAGACCTATTGCACAGAAATATATAACACATTTTCTAGCGATATTTGCACTTTCTCTAAACGAAGAGCCTAAACTTCTTTGGGATCAGGGGCGTACGCAGGGGGGGGTGTTTTGGGGGTTCAAACCCCCCCCCCCTTTGGTATTTTTATGTATGTAAACCCCCCCCCCCCCCCAAAAAAAAAAACCTAAAACCCCCCCCCCCTTTTCGGCTGGCTGAGTCGTTGCGATTTTTTTTGACCTCCAAAAAAAAAAAAAAAAAGTGTCCGCTTACCCCCCCCCCCCCCCCCCCCACTGAGCGACTTTTCGGCCGGCGCGATTTTCAAATTTTCGGGAGCAAAATATTTTAAAACCCCCCCCCCCCCTTGAAAAAATCCTGCGTACGCCCCTGTTTGGGATCAAGAATCAATCGAGGGTACCGAAACGGAGAAACAGTTATGTCTCAAATGTATTGTAATTAAATTTTTATGTTGAAAGGCAGGGGATTTCTTTGCAAATGGTGGCATTTAACGTTTCTTTTTATAAAGTTAAATTCCCGACACAATTCCTACACAACGCACCATTTCCTTGTCTGATTTCGTTTTCTAAAATATTATGTTACTATTTCTCTCAAGGTAAAACATGATTTTCATGCTGTATCACCATGATCAGAAGCAGAGATAGCAAAACGTATTAAAATGATGTTTCTTACCTTCTTTTTCCTATATTTTTGGTTTAATGTTCTTTTTTTTATAGGCCTTGCTGCACCAATTATAAGAGCTGTTTGTCAAGTTTCTAATAACGGCACAACTTCTTGGAACGCCAGCATAAGATGTCAAGATTATGTCACGCGACAATTAAAGAGAAAATTAATGGCAAGTTTCACCATGATTACTTTAGATGCTCTTTAAGATATGAAGGGGTATTCACGGCGGTTTGTATTAATGTGTGAATGAATGGCAACTACGCGGAACATAGGTTCTATGGCATTCTCAGTTCTTCGTGTCTTTGGGTTACACGAACTTTTCGTGAATAATCAAGCTCTAAGCCCTAATTTCAGAATGGTCTGGTTTAATAATTGTGAAGAAAAAAAAAGCCTGTCCTTGTCTAGTTTAACCAACACTTTTTGAAAAGCCTTTACAGCAAATCCACGATAACTGGCGTCTCGACCGACTTTTCTTTTAAATACGAGTTAAATAATCACAAGATAGTTCGTAAAAAGGCCAGCGATCGACACTTCATCATTGTCTGATCGTATAGGCATTTTTTTCACAAACAAATGGACATCTAAAATACAAACCTTTTCTCTAGGAAAATCTTTGAAACGTTGTTATTTTGTGCATTCAGTACACCCGACCTTTCATGAATAAAGGGGCATGTTTTCACAACATATCGTGTAGCCCGACGTGAAGCACCCGACCTTTTGTGAATATAGCGGTACGTTTGTACCAAAGGTCGTGTAACCAGACAAGCCAACTCGACCGACGCGAAGATCCGATGGAACAAAATAAGCCTACGCGTATTTAACTTTTCAACATCATTTACAAACTAACGCCGCTGGTTAACGCCTTATATCTAAACGAGGTTTAATAATTATACTTTAAGAGGCAAGTAATAATCATAATAAAAACGCGATGAAGTAATCGTCTCCCATCCGCTATTATGTTGTCTAATGTCAAAAATGTAAAATTAATAGTATAATCGGTATACAAAACTATTTATTTTGTGATAAAAAACAATGTTACAATTAAAGCGTAATTGGTGAAATGTGATTAATCTGTAGTTCCTGTTTTTTGTTGTTCTTATTAGCTCTTTATTTCTTAGTCGCATCTCATCAATTACTCAGTTGTTCATATACCCAAACCCTGCTTAATAAATCGTATGCCCCTATTTTACATGTCAGAACTTTAGGATTTCTAATCTCAAAATTGGTATGGTTGAATGGTGAACCTTCTGAATTACTCCCATCCTGGGTGAATGTTAACTACCACTTTGTAATATTCATCTTTTTTTCGAGTGAAACAAATATTCCTTCGTTATAACATGCCTAACAGCATATATCGTCGTTGATTTTACGAACCGTCATAAACCACTTTTAAAGGCAAAACTAAACTGTGGAGAAAATCGCTTCAAAAGTTAGGGCATTTTGCCGACGCTCGTTACTTAGAAGTTTACAGAAACCTTCCGTTTTGTTTGATATCAATGTAAAGCATAACTTCTCTAGTTTTGTAATATTGCACTATTTTTGCATGAATTCAATTTAATATTATGATTATTGTAGAAAAACATATCGCGGCATTTCAGCAACTGCTGATTTTCTCGCAATAAGCATTTAGGTCACTTCGTAAAATCATAAATTGAATGCGCGTGATTTTTCAAATCTTACCAAAAAACAAACAATAAATCGTAGTTTGGGAGTAAGAATCCAACCTCCTCTAACACTCAGCCCTCCTGTACTTTAGTGTCCTATGTACTGTTTTATTTAAAATGAAATGCTCGTTCGTCAGCCCTATCCAGCCATCAGTCTATATAGAAAGACAAGATTCAGGATGAATGATAACATTTAGTCCTTCCCTCTTAAAATATTTGAAGTTTGAAGTTTTATTTATTCCACATTTTACATAAAAAACAGAATAGAATCGAGAGTAAAGAGAATAATATAATAATAAGTAGGAGAAGGTGAAGAAGGTAAGAAAGAAGAAGAAGAGGAAGACGAAAAAGAAGTGGAATAAGGAGAGGCAGAAGAAGAAGTAGAGAAAGCAAATTGATAAAAATCAATGGCATTGTGAAATAACAAAAACAAATGTATAACCACATGTACGATCCATCGCGACATAAACATTACTTTTATGCGTACTTACTCAAAAGGAAACACCTGAGCTTTCGTTTAAATTAATTAATTGAGGGACTTTCAACTAGTTCGTTATTCAGGCTGTTTCAGAATTTGGGTCCAGTAAAAATAATTGTTTTGTTAGCAAGTTAATGTCGAGGCCTGCAAAAGTAGAAGTCTACGCTAATCTAACGTCTTTATACTATCAAAGAATTGATGTGTTTTGGAGTAAAGATTACAAACAACTGAATCGTGTGTCTCTTTGTACTTGAAGAACGGGATATATGATGCTAATGTGAAAGACGTTGCTGAAGAAGTTTTCACAATAACCCAGAACTATGAGGACATTACCGCTACCGATATCGGCTTGCTGTATGAGATCCTGCAGGTGATAGCTGACCTGAACTCTGATGCAAATGTGAGTTAATAGGTCATTTCCCTTTCCTTTAAGTGACTCTCACACTCTGCCGTGTAGGCCTACCGTGTGCCACCGTGCGCGAAAATGTCTGCGGACGGTGGAGAACGGCGAGGGCACACGGTGGTTCGTTATCAAAGCGGGAAACACGTTAATAGGGCGTTGGCGCTTATTTACACCCGGTGGGACCCGGCGAAAGTTTTGGGCATGTTCAAAACTTTGGCCGCCTGGCACCGGCCGCAAGTAAGCGGCAAGAGGACGGTGTTGAACGGTATGAGGACGGTATGAATACGTTATGAAAACGGTCACACTGTATGAACACGTTCACACCACGCTCATAACCCGTTACAGAACGGTGATGAACGGGCAAAAACAAATCCACCGTCTGCAACGGGTTGTAAGCGGGTTGTGAACGTGTCATGAACGTGTTGATACTGTGCCACCGTCTTCATAACGTATTCATACCGTCCTCATTACAGTGTTCATACCGGACTGCCAACGGGTGTTTCCAAAGCGGTACCGCCTGATTCTGACGGCGCCGCCTCCCTAACGCATGGGTAACATCCTGTTAACGCCTCGACGTTCCCATAACGTCCTATAACGGGTCCATAACGTGTCCTTACCTTCACAGTAGCGTCATATGAACGTGCCATTACCAACAAATTTACTTTTGTCACCGTGTGCCACCGTTTGTCACTAATTATTGGGTATATATAGAGGGGTTTCGTCAGATGAGCTTTACTTTTTCTTGTCATGACGTCAGCAGTCCGGGGACTCGCTCACAGGACGCTCCGAGCGGTGAGGGGACGCTAAGTGACTGGTAGGTGGCTGCTACAAACCCGGTGCACACGTTCGAGACCCGGTATGGGCCTGGTATGGAAACGGCCAGAAGATGGCAACGAAACGGTGAAAAGATTAATTTTATGATTTTTTTTTTGCGGCCGGGGACAAGTTCGCTCAAAACCCAACGTTCTGGACTCTGTTGTTTTTTAACAGCCCGGCAGGTGGACGGTAGGCCTACACGGCAGAGTGTGAGAGCTCCATTACGTACCTTAACTTATATCACCAAATCATTTGACGTAGAGAGAGAATAAAAACGAGCATGTTAAAACCTATCAGTATTGCTAGGTCTGGAAGAGAATGAACTCAATATTATTATTGAAAATTATGCAATGTTAGATGAATGATGAATTTGGTTGTATACTTTATATAAGCCATGGTATTAATAGAGGCGCAATGGCTCAGCGATAAACAGTGGTTTCTTAATCGGGAGGTCCGGGATTCGAAACCAAGACGATGTAATAGTGCCCATCGATTGATAAGGCATTATCAAATCATCATTACCAAGTCCCTGGTTGCTTATGGGGCTTTCACATATACATTCCGGGGCCCGTACGGCGAGTAAAAACATAAATTTTGGTAATTTTCGGCCGGTCTCCGGCCGGCTGCCGTAAAGTTCCTACGGGCGCCGGGACAGTTTTCTAAGCCGTACGGGCGCCGTGGTGCTGATTTGGCTGCTCTCAATTCTCCCGGCGTTTTTATCTGACCGTTAGGCCGTAGAAAGCCCGTAAAAGGCTCGTAAAAAAAAAACGTTTTTACTCGCCGTAGGGGCCCCGGAGCGTATATGTGACAGCCTCATTACAAGCATACAGATCCTCAATAATGGTCAGGGAAAAAACATTCTTTCAAACCTAACTTATAGTAAAGGGTCTAAAATAAGAAGCTTGTTTATCCTGAGACCCTCTACATTGGTGTTTCAAATTACGGCTTGTCATTGTTTGGCATATGTCGTTTGTAATGAACGAAGAAAGTCTAATCTCTTTTGTTGTGTAATGATATTTACCTCATCTTTCATAGGTAACAGGTCTTATAGTGGGAATAGTAAATAACGTGATGTTTGTCTACGAGGATGTGCTAGCCTCTGCCCAAGAGAATGGAAATTATACTGCCCTCATCGTCCAGGTCTTAGAATCTCAGTTGAATACCGTCGACGTTGGTAACAGCACGCTTGATGCAGCTTATCCTAATTTAGCAGTTAAGGTAAACTAGACCTTAACTCTCACAAATCTTTACATTATTTCTGCCCAAGTAGACCGTTGTGTGAAAAATTACAGATGATCGATGCATGCATCCAAGTACACAGTGATACATGAATTGTGTCCCTTCTCTAATCAGACGTGCTCAGTTATTGAGTGCTTTAAATGTTTGACATGTTGACTGGGTTGCGGAGGCGTGCTCGCGGATTTGAAGAAAAACAATTTGTTGGTTTAATAAGGGCAAGAAACAGCCTCAAAAGGGGTCATATTTCCAAACGTGTGAATGTGCACTAATAAATCATGACCACTATGAGAGACACCACACCACAATGTCCTTGTTTAGTTGCTGAGCCTGAAAGGGCTTTCGACGAGTACTAGCATAGACATAGGCGTAGATGTGTGTGCATTATCATGATTTTGTAAAAATATGGTGTTTTTTTGTAAATTTTTACTCAAAGTTGAAAGCAACAATATCGACAATTTAGATAAATGAATAATTATAACGAAAATTAAACTGTACACACTTTCCTGTAGGTGCTTGACGTATCTTCGGACACTGCTGGAGACGGCATAGTGATCACCATGTTAAGTATGGACACCAGTTCCTTGAGCAACAGTGACATCATGGTAGGAACACACCAAGACACACCTACTGACTCTGTCCCAAGAGACACCTTTGTCAGGGTTGTTGTACCCATCGAGGTGGGGGGAAACGCTATTGAGTCTCTCAGGGTTGCTTTCGTTGGGTATGCCAATGATGCCATGTTTCCTTCTCCAAGTCTTGCTCTACTAAACCGGGAAACACACGAGTTCAACAGTGAGATTGATACACCAGTGGTGTCCTTAACAATCGGTGGACAGAAGATAGAGAATCTCATGGAGCGTGTCAACGTCACTTTCTACAGATTCAAGGTAAGCATGGTATGAGGTGCACTGAAGATTTGTATGACAAATGCTCCGGTGACAAATGCTCTGATGTCAATATTATGAACAAAATTCGTATCTTCAGTCTTGGACCAACGACCTATACCTATACACTAAACATAACCTAAGAATCACTTAGAAACCTATACACACCACCATAATTATGCAAACAATTATCACGAAACACGCCCGGAGCAATCATCACCAGCTGGAGCATATTCTCATAAGAAACGGGCGGTAGTAATAACAACACTGACTGGTGTGTTAATAAATCACTATTTAATCATTAAGTCAATTTTGTCAAGGGTTCCCAGGATGGCATTTCAACAACTTTAAAGAAGGAAATGAAGAAGAAAAAAGTTGTCATAAGATAAATATTCAAAAGCATAGGACACTCGATAACATGGATCAAGAAGCCATTTTCTATGCGGATTGCTAAACAAATTTAACGCCATTAATTGCCTGCAAGCACCCCAGGCCTACACTTTTTCCCCTACACTAGCCGATGTTATTATAAAACCCAGATTACTTAACATTATATAGGCCTGGATATACAGTATATATTGATTATACTTGTACTTTACATGTCGTAAACAGGCATGTGCTAAGTTCTGTTGCCAGTGGTTGTGGGCCGCATGTCTCTAAAATGTTATATTTATTTATTTACTGCTTTCAGCCTAACTCCAGCGATCCTACTTGTAACTTTTGGGAGTTTAATCTTGTTAAATGGTCTATGGAGGGATGTCAAGTGTTACCTGATAACGCCGTCAATAGCTTCAATAATGAATACTACACATGCGCCTGCGACCACCTGACCAACTTTGCCGTCTTAGTGGTACGTGATTCCTTCAACATGTTTGAAATATCTTCTTTCTTTTTTTCTTTCTATTTTTCAAACTCAATGAGTAGTGTGTTAACGTACGGTAGTCACATTAAACTATTAAACAAGTAAGTAAACATGAGACTGCTGTTGCAAAGGTTTGATCCTATATTAACATATAAGGTTTATCAGCTAAAGCTACATGTCCTATTTCTTGACCGTTTTGCAAATGAAAATAATGCCGAACAGACGTGAAATTTGATTTCACACTTTTTAAAGCAAAATAATGAACAAAGATTTGCTTATGTTGTGTTTTTAACGGACAGCTAGTATTTTGGTTTAAGGGACGAGGGATAAAGGTAGAATAGGTCGGTCGCTCCCAATGTCTAGCAGAGTCTCAGCCTGGCAAACATGTACTCGGGACGCCTAGATATCACCATTCGCCTATATCTAGAGGCCTCTAGTTTCCTCCAAAACGTGGTTAATGTGAGTTTGGTTTCAAGATTTGGGTTACAGGTTAGACAGGCTCGATTGAATCCAGAGACACGGGTAGTAAACGAATTTAATAAAGCAGTGACAGATACATTGCTCGCCCGAAGTTCTAAAGATAATCGCATAATAATTGACTGCCGTGACGCGCTTCAAACCCAATGGCCTGTTTGTATGTTTGTAGGTTTCACCTTTTTATTAAACATTTTATCAATGAGTGAAATTCATAATGTATACAAATTCAAAATGTATCCTTTACTGTAATCTTATTTCATTGCTCCTGCACACGTTTTACGCTGAAGGACATATATGCAGAGGACGCACCTCCGAAACCTGTACTCCGTTTATTGAGTATCATTGGGTGTGCTATATCAATTGTGTGTCTGGTCATCGCTATCGCGTCCTATCTTAGTGTCAAGTGAGTCAAATTGTTTGTGGCAGTTGTTTGTTTTAACCCCCCCCCCCCTCCCCATCCCCTAAAACAATTACATAATAATATATTATCAGTCTAAATCCATGAATTTATACAGAAACAACTCAGTATAATCATGATAATGTACAAAAAGCGATTGAAAATGAAAGAGTTGATAGTGATTCTTAGAACAGAATGAGTGATGTCTATCAGTAAACCATCGCAAAGACATACGAGAAGTCATTTCAATTGATTCATTTCATCAGGTATGTTCAGTACATGTACCCATTTTAAGGCTTATATGCCTCAGGAATAATGATTATTCTGATTACGTAATACGTCATTTGAATGTTCACATATTTCAATAGATGATGTTTAAGGCAATTAAAGGGCAATCGAACAGTTCCGATTCGTACGAAAGCAGACAAATAAGAGAAACAAAATAGTGAAAGTTTGAATAAACAGGACCTATCATATGAAAGTTGTGAATGTTTGAAATATCATATCACAAAATTATCCGAATCTCAGATTGGCAATTTGATAAGAAAGTGACGTAGTCATGGACAACTATACCATTTGTCGCGTACAAATACATCATTATTTTATGTTTTGCTCCTAAGTGCCTTTTCCCTCGGGGCACTATTCGAAACATATTATGGATAGCATATTACCATAGGTTCTCTAAAAAGAAAGGACCTTCCTACCGATTGTGTCAATAAAGAGCACCTATACACCATCTACATAGAGGGATAACAACTTGCAAACATTCATAATTTTGTATTTATTTATTCAATTATTTACTTTTTTATTGTTTCATAAATTTGTATTTATTTATTTATTCCTTTTTTTATATTATTATTATCATTATTATAATTTTTTGTTTGTTTGTTTGTTGTTGTTGTTATTGTTGTTGTTGTTGTTTTTTTTTTTTTTTTTTGTTTTTTTTTTTTTGGGGGGGGGGGGGGGTTTCATGCAAACTTTCACCAGTCTGCTTCTGGTGTGTCTCTCAAAAGCTTCGGAATGACCTACCATGCACTAGACATAGGAAGAGCCCCGTCTGTGGCCGTTTAAAAAGTTTTGTTCATTATCAGAAGCCTTTTGAATAAGTTTTGGTTGTGTGTCCGTAAAGTGTCACTTTATGATTTTTTTTCCACCACCGCGCAAATCAGTATATTACATTAGATGCGCTATAAATCAATCGTACTATTAACGTTTTCATTACCTAATGGTTGTCTTTTATACCATGAAAAAAGGGTAGAGAGTTTTCATTTTGGGATAAGATAGATGGGCAGACATTATGTCGTATAAAGGTCACATTACACGGAACTGCTCTTGTTAATGCAATCAGATCAAAGAATGTTCGTTTATTTATTGGAAGAAAAAGAAAACTAGCCAGACAAAACGTACTTACGATAATATCTTTCATCAACAGGAAGATACGAAGATCTCAGACTCACAAGATTTTCATCTGTCTTTGCACCACCCTGCTCTGTTTGTACACCGTATCCCTCGCCATCATTGCTCTTGACACTGAGTTCCAGTATGCCGAGGTCGAGTTGATACCGTGTTCCGTCCTGGCGGCACTCGTCCACTACTTCGTGCTCTCTTCGCTTACGTGGATGGGCATCGAGGGATTTAACACTTATCTGGTCATCATAAAAGTGTTTAATACTTACATCCCGAAGTTTATGATCAAAGCTTCGATTGTAGGATGGGGTAAGAACCGTTGATTTCTCTTGATAGTACAAAAAAATACAACTATAGTGCGTACTATTAAAACAAAACACTGACAAGAGACGTGACCTTTATAGGTGTCTAGATGACGATGAGGATCACCACAGATTTTTCAAGAGCAGACAGAGATTGTTTTTACACTTGATTCCTGTATTCACTATTGGGAATTACCTGATCGTCGGGTCTACTATCGAGTTTTCAGTTGTGGTTAATTAACAGACGTAGACGATTGTAAACCCTACCCAAACCGCCTCCCCCCTCCCCCTCCCCCTCCCACCTCTACCCCATGAATGATCAGGACCACATTGTGTGAAGCGAAGAACGCTTTGGGCAACTGTCAACCTTTGTTCATTATTTGTTTAATTATTTGCTTGATTATTAATTCATTTTCTATTTCTTTGTTTGATTATTCTAGTATATCTTTATTTTGTTAGTTTTTGAATTACTCATATATTTATCTATTATATACTCCAACGTGTAAAGATCGAGGAAAAAAAGTATAACGGGGACATTTTCCTAATATTTTTTCTTTTTCTTTTCAAATTCAGGTATCCCGGCTGTGATTGTTGCCGCAACTGGGGCAATCACTAGGAACTATTATGCTGAAGAAGATTAGTAAGTTGATCCATACTTGTACATGAGGAATCTTGCACCAAAATAGATAGTTAGTGCAAGTTACTATTAATGAAAATTACTGCATTTCAATTTGTGTTTATCTATGTCTTGACGTTCTAACAGAATACTCCTACTGTTCTAGAATATCGGCGGAATGGCTCTAATACAGCTCAGGTATAGAGGATACAACAAATGCGCGTGAACTATTCATGACTAGGGTACTGATTAAATGTATTAGGGACTTTTAGATTGAGTGGACGAGAACACGACGAACGCCGACTGATCATGCGTGTCAACGTACTGAACTGCCCATGTTGACTACAATTAGAAATCTTTTAGATTGCACTCGACGATATACATGCATGAAGGAAATAACACTATGAACATGACAGACAAAGAAAGAAGACAAAATATACAGTTCCTCATTCTACCCTCAAGAATAGGCCATTTTCGTAATGTAACCAAATTTAATGCATAGGTCTTTGTGAAGTGCCTCAATACAAATTATTTCATTTACCTGATAGAAATAATAGTATTTCAATAGTCAGAATGCAGCTGCATATATTAAGTGTTGCTAGGTAGGTCAAGCCATAATGTTTGTCCAACCTGGCAACAACTAATGTATGCAGTTAGGATTCTGTCTATATTGAAATACTATTATTCTTACGAAAATGGCCTATTGCTGTGGTACGTAGAACATCCCTTCACTGCTATTATGTAAAAATGTCAGTAGAACAGGTGAATATGCATGTGACACCTGTTCTACACATTTTGACATAATAGCAGGGAAGGGATGTTCCTTTGTCTACCTGATGAACTGTATATTGTATGCGCACGCGGCATACTAGCTAGTACCGTACTAGATTGAGGAAAATCACGGTTGACGCATTCTCGATCGCCGACTGAGACGACGTGACGCATGCGCAGTGCCTTAAAATGACGTCACACGTTGCAGTCAAAGCTGTCAACGTGCAAATCTAAAAGTCCCTATTCGTAGTCAACCTTGTTTTCTGAAGTCTTCCCCGAGCAATGTTCTATTTTCTCTTTATCTCCATCCACAGTTGTTACATCCGGAAGTGGCCCCTCATTGGTGGTCTCTTGGTCCCAATGGCTATCATCCTCATCATCAATATCGCTGTGTTCATTCTGGCAATGCGTCGTCTGCAAAATTCTGCACGAATGGCAGGACGTGTGAAGAAAGACTGCAAGACCGAACGACAAGAGACCCGAGAACGGATCCAGAATGGCATCGCCATGTTGCTCCTGCTTGGCTTCACCTGGACTATTGGATACCTGACCCTGATCAACGTGGACTTCACTGAACTCCTTTTCATCATCTTCAACTCCTTGCAAGGCTTCTTCATCTTCGTCCTCTATTGTCTTCGAAAGGAAACCATCAGGATGCAATGGCGACGATGTATTTGTTGTGCACTGTTGCGGGAAGGTGCAGGCAGCGCTGAGTCCCAAGGAAATTCCGGTGGAACATCAAGAGCTACGAGTGGGACTGGATGCTCTCAGCCTATGTTTGAATCTTCCTCTACAATACCCCATGCCAATCCATCTTTTGACCCACTCAAATTAGATATAAAACCATCAGGCTGCAATGATTAATGTGCAAACGATGTATCTCTTGTAACTAATAGCCAGAAAATGATAGTAGGCATGAGCACTGAGACTTTGATTTAATTAAGGTAATTTCTACACCCTAATGCATTGCCTTTTGAAATTATGTTCGGATTACGTAATGGCGTGTTCCTACATTTCAATGTGTAACACCCAAGTCTATTGAAATTGCCTGAAGTAGAATTTGTGAAAGTCCTAGCGACCATGCTGTACATAATTGAAACCCTCTGGAATGTAATGAAACGCTTTGTAGCTTGTTATTTGCTATTGATGGTAGGGACTATCTGACTTGTTGGAATTATTATGTATAAATAAGCATTATAGGTTGATACACAATCATGCATGATGTGAGTGTGGGGGTATTTGTTTGAAAGATTAATTGACACATTGTTATTTACATAATCATATGCAATAACGCGAAAGGGTTGTAGAGGGGTAGTGCGTTTGTTTCTTTGTTTAGTTTGCTTTATTGTTGAACATTATACATAACAATAATGTCTCATGCATAAGATTGACAAAGAGAATACATAAAACAATGTTAGACATTTAACATAGAAAATCGATGATGTGAAATAATGAGGAACCTATTAAGTAGCACAGCTTGTAAATTATAGGTTCCCGAAATAAATAGTGATTTCTAATTTTGATAACAAAAAAGAACGAAGTTATAACAGTTTGAGTCACTGATGACACATTAGCATTATGAATAACATGTAGACAAGGTTTGCGGCCACAATTGAAGTAGGCTATAGCTACTTGGTGCTGCAATATGAATATTGTTTAGATGAGAAGAAATATCAATTATGACTTCTGTGCATATTACATTTTTTTTTATTATTCTGAATTAGAGGTTTTGTTCTGGGGTAGACTTTCATTTACAGGCAAATTCAAAACTTTGCTAAATACACGAAAAGATAGAAAGGGTATATTTCATCAAATTTCTGTTTTACATGTCATTTTCTTCAGAAAATTTGTCATATGGGCAAAAGTCATATTCATTTTCTTTTTCAACATGCATGAGCTTGTTTACGCTGATGCACATTCCGACTTCCCTTTAACGCCCCAATTACTGTTTTTGTTGGTATTTAAAAAATAAAAAAAGAAAATTGTTTTTAGTTATTGTAGATTATATATTGTAAAGCGTATTGAAAGAGCTTTCTTTTCTAAAATACACAATACAATGACCTTATTATTATTTTTTTTTTAATTTTATTTGTTATGTATTTATTATCATTATTGATAATATTGATATTATTATTATTATCATTACCATTATAATTGTTTCTATCAATTTGTTGTACTGATTGCTTTATAATTACATCGGATATGTCATCTTTTTAGGTTAAGAAAAGATTAAATATCCCGTAGCTATGTCGAGTCATTTGTTGAGTATAGAAGTTCCCGTACCAGCCAATATCTACATGGACATTGCTGTAAATAAAATAAATACTGTAAGTTTGTATTTTTACCATTGATTTTCATATTATATACAGAAGCTACAATATTTCCATTTAAAAATTCAGTAAGTCTATATATATATTGTATTCCATAATCATTAGAATATAGATTAGACGTAGAGTACTAGTAAAATAAAATAAAGATGAAAGTAATTTGGAGAAAACAATAAAACCCATCGCGACGATGGTGGATACGTGTTTATGAAAATTATGTTATCTTTAGTAATGTATGCATTGGCGGTACATTTTATGATAAACAGGTGGAGGTATTATTTTCAAGAGGGAAAAAAAAAAGTGTTCTAGAAGCACCTAAATGTAAATACAATGTACGTGACTGCTTTGGAACTTTCATGGGCCATCCTGTCAAATATCTCTTATGTTACTGTTATATGCTTTTTCCTTTGTCTTTTGTACTTCCGTATTTTGATATGTTTAGCTTGGCAAATAAAACAAAATATAATCAACTCATATCAACCTCTATCTCTTTGGCAATGGTTATTCTAACACACACAAAATGGGACGTAAGTCTCCATGTATCAAAGATGTGTGAATATTTGGGGGTCATCTTGTTCAAGTGCTAGCCCCGAAAAAGTTTACCATACCATTTTCGTAATGTAACCAAATCTTATGCATCTCTAGGATGTTCCTTGTTTCCCTTGTTTCCCTTGTTTCCCTGTCCCTTTTACTCTTTTTATGTTATGTCTATTTGATTTATGTATTTGTGCGTTCCCTTATTATTGATATACTATTTTTGAAATTATAAGATAACGGGGGCTGCAATCTACAAGCCCAGCTTTTCAGCAGTCCCCTCCATGACCAACCTGTTTTATATGCCTGTTGTACACTGTGGACCAACTACAAATATATTTTTCACTTTCATTGTCTTACTATGTACAATGCAATCCCATATACCTTATTTATTTTGTTTGAAATGGAAATAAACGAAATAAAAGGTCAGACTTAAAATATTGGTCAATATCCTACCACTCCCCCCCCCCAAAAAAAAAAATAATAATAATGAAATAAAACAAATAAAAAAAAAAAAAAAAAAAATGGAACCCAAATTAAATTTCGCCCCATCTCTTACAAAATGCTAAATCCGCCCTAATAACACAGTGCCTCTCAATCGTCCACTCTACGCCATGCCAAAGACCTTATATTCCATACGTAGCGCCCATATCAGGACAACTACCCGCTGGAAATCACCCCCCCCCCCCCCGAAAATTATCCCCGGAAGATTACCCCTAGGACAATTTTCGGAATAAAACAAATATTTTATGTATCCATTCACTTGAAACACCTATTGTAAATGTTATGCATATCGAGCAGTGATAAGGTTTTGTATCAATCATGACATGGCAATTCAGATCAGACGGTGTCCAAGTTTGTTACTCTTTTCCTTATTTTACTTCAATGTATAACCCCGTCTTAACCGGAAAATATAGTCGCGGTGTCATCCGGACGTTGTAAAAATGGACAGTTGTCTGTGATATTCTGATCGTTGTTTCGGAGGCCGTTCTCGCCTGATTAAAGGTGTTTTAATCTCCAATTCCTGTCTGATCTCAGGTCATTCCTGTTTGTACTTAGTGAATCCCCTACATTGTCCGGATGACATTCTACCCCGTTCCAGTGAAGACGCGTCAATCGGGGTAACATCAGGACAATATCGAGGTGACATCGAGGTGAGTTTCACCCTAGTCGGGCCATGCAGGGCGAGATGGCGGTAACGTCCGGACGACATCCTGACAAAATCCAGATAAACGGCCTATTAAGACGCGTGCCGAACTCTACCGGGTAGATGACGTCATGCGAACACAAGGTACTCTTGTAAACAAGGTTGCCAATTTAACTTCCTCTAACTTTACATACGTAAACTAATAAATACGTTCCTAATTTAACACTTGAATTTGCTCAAATAATACGAATTGTAATACTATCAATAAATAAATGCCATATTTTAAAAGCTAAAAGTAGGTAAGCACAACAACTAATATCTGAGTGTGCGCATTCAATTCAATAACAGTCGGGCACTGCTTTCCCGCGCTAACGTACACAGCGCGCGCCAGCTGATCGCGATGAGGGAGGTGCGGTTGTTATGGTAACCTACCCGAGTGAGGTTTTTGCGGATGGCTGGTTAAGACTGTGTCCATGAACCTGGCAAAAGCTCACCCCGTGTTTGACGATCAGACCCCCAACTGTTTCTTATCCACATATCGCTCGGGTGAGATCGAAAAAGTTATATTAAGACGGGGCTTTTAGAAGGTGTATAACTTGTGAATGTGAGTGTTTATGCGACTGTCCGTGGGAGCGTCGATGCAAGTGATTACAAGAATGAGAAACGGAGTGTACTTTGTTGATTAATGCTATGAGTTTTTAGTGGAGTGGTGTGTGTGTGGAAGGGGGGGGGGGCGAAACGAGAGAAGGTTGTTAGAAGAACCAAACATAAAAAGACCCCAAACAAATGAAATTAAAAATATAAAAAATCCGCCCGCCCGCCCCTGCTCCAGAAAAGCAATCGAGGACAACCAAATGACCGTTTTGGGCCTTGTAGATCTACAGTTGAAATGTAACTGCACGGCATCATGGTGATTTTCAGCCTAAGGATTGAAAGCAGGAGCGTTTGAACTGCAAAGAAAATCTACATCATGATTATCATCATCCCCAATTATACGAGAAAAAACAATAACAAGACATTTGGAATAATCGAAATGATTACATTATACAAATGCCATAATAAGCAATTTAAAAGTTTAGTTACTTGACGTCGAGAGATTTTTAGTCCACTTTCAATCTGCAACTTGTACGTGTACACTCTGTGTATGACAGTATATGGCGCGCTAGCGCTCCGGCTCCCTGTCCCAAGTGTGACGTCATTATTGAGGACCCGTATATTTCGCTTTCAAGCCAGGATTGGAAGTCCTGAGAAATGTCTTCGAAAATGCTAATTGGAATGTTTAATTAATAATTACAAAACTTTAAAGCAAATGATTCCTGTTCTCAATGATATAAGCTTTCTTTATGTATAATTTGCCCATTTTGTGAAATGTCCTCGCACAGCGTCTCTAAATAGGCGCCGTTCTACCGCGGTCACATCCACCAAACAGACTCCAAACCGGCTTATTCCTGGCTAGTCGGAGGAATAAAATCATTTTGATCGATATGTTATCTGTCTAGGGTAGGTCTTGTCGGTGTGACTGAGGTACGAATTTGGTTCAAAGATTGGGCTATACAGGCGCGTAATTTGGAATTGACAAAGGACCGCTTGTTGGTTGTACGGATATGCGGCAATCAAATAATATAATTCAAATAGTAAAGCACTTAAATATTGGTTTGGAAGTCATACTATAGACTGTCACCTCTTCTTAGCCTAATGGAGCTCTCACACTCTGCCGTGTAGGCCTACCGTCCACCTGCCGGGCTATTAAAAAAAAACAGAGTCCAGAACGTTGGGTTTTGAGCGAACTTGTCCCTGGCCGCAAAAAAAAATGCATAAAATTAATCTTTTCACCGTTTCGTTGCCATCTTCTGACCGTTCTCACCGGGCGCATACCGGGTGTTGAACGTGCTTCTACCGTCTTCACCGCCCCGGGAGGGGGGGGGGACTGAATTCAGACGAGGATTAAGAGTCGAAAACGGTACAACGAATCGTCTTCTTTCTTTAATAGTTTAATTAAACGTCAAAGCTTCCGCGCTTCACGCAGGAGAGGGAGGGGAGGAGCTCAATTTAGACAAGAATTAAGAGTCGAGAACTGTACAACGAATCGTTTTCTTTCTCTAATGATTTAATGAAACGTAAAAGCTTCCGCGCTTCGCGCGGGAGAGGGGGGGGGGGGAACTGAAATCAGACGAAGATAAAGGGTCGAGAACGGTACAACGAATCGTCTTCTTTCTTTAAAAGTTTAATAAAACGTCTAAGCTTCCGCGCTTCGCGCAGGAGGGGGAAGGGGGGGGAATGAATTTAGACAAGGATTAAGAGTCGAGAACTGTACAACGAATCGTTTTCTTTCTCTAATGATTTAATGAAACGTAAAAGCTTCCGCCCTTCGCACGGGAGGGGGGGGGGGGAACTGAAATCAGACGAGGATAAAGGGTCGAGAAATGTACAACG